AATTGCAATATAAGATAGACAGATCGATCAATCGATTGATCGATCGGGTTACTAAACAATAATCAAACAATATGAACAGATTGAATTGCTTGTAATTGATACTGGTTGTACATCCATATTGATAATGTCAACAATACAGTGATTCATTACAACTACCCAAAATTCGGGAATGATGATGAACAGCATAAAAACATTGACAGAATGATGATGACGATGAGAGGAGAGGAAAGAAACAGAGAGAGAGAGAGAGAGAAAAAAAAGTATCAAATGACAATCTGGTCTAGATCATCTGCAGATCATCATCTAGATCAGAACAATTACAATAATGATGATGATGGTGATGAGAGGCAGACATGTAAGCTAGAACAATGACAACGCCCGCGCTTTTCATCATACACGATATAACAATTGTGAATGAGTGATGAGTGAATGAATGAACAGTTGAGATTCCAATTCGTTTCATGAACAATGGAAGCTTCATTTATATCTATCTATAGATACGTTAGTTGTTATGGTGAAAAAGATGCTTGCTCAATACCCTCAAAGGAAAAATGCTTGAATATATGCATCCAAAACATTCCGGCATACAAACTAAGCAGACAGTGTAGACCGATGCTTCAATCTCAACAACAACAACAACCACACTGAATTCATTCTGAATGAATTCTCACATGACAGCAACTAGATTCTGGCCAATATCAACATACAAAAAATGTAGCCAGCACCAAATATATGCAATGACATTAATCTTGTCCAGAGAAAAATAAAACAAGCCCTGGTTTTCAATGAAAAGCAAAAGACGATGCAGCTGAAGATTTTTTTTTTCAATTTTGTTTCGTTTCTCATATCGTTGTCGATGAAGTAGGGAGTTTTGGAAAGACGACATCAGGCCGAATAAGATGGTGTGTGCATTTACATAACGAAACATAGCAAAAGACAACGAGAAAACGTCAGATGATATCAATATCAGGCTACATATACACACACAGAGAGTTATAATAATACGTGAGAATTGGCAAATTGATTTCATTTATTCCAAAATATTCGACAATTGAATTGCAAAAAAAAAAATTACCTTTCATACACACAAGTTTATTTGGAAAATCAATTTTTTGAACGACCAATGGATTGATGCCCACACACATACACACAATTATTGTAAAAAAAAATTCCAAAAAGCATAGGAAGCCTTTCATGTTGTTTGACATAAAGAAGCCGCCCTTCAATGACCGACCGATCCGTACGGTAATGACCACCAAGTTTCATATCATCATCATGACCATAACCATTAGAACAGACCATTAACCCAAAACAATAGCCTGGCTACACAACATCCATTATGATGTATACATTATCATTGTATTGTACTTGTATTATGAACTTTATCATCATCATCCTCAAAACTCAAATCGGATGTTACTTAGCCATTTTCAATTCGAGATAAGAAATGTGCATGGGCCGAAATGACCGAACTGAACGTTTAATGAGTCTAATTAGTCTGAACGACTATGACGACTACAACTTACGAATCACGAGTTAGTTCAAATATTAGTGGCTAACATCGGAAACAATCGAAAATGACCAAAAAAAGTTGAGTGGAAGTATCAATCTTCTTCTCGTATATCACAAAATCCATAGTGTATTGATCAAATCTATGTTGTTATTATATTCAAAGATTATCAAAGACAATGATTATTGGTCACGCAATTCATTTATGCATACGTCAATCTTTTTTTTTTTTTGAAATGACACGTGTCATTTGGCTATCTAAATACATTGTGATGAATATTCGGGTCCATTCGATTTTGACTATTTTTTTGATGATTCCATACCAATCACTATGATGATGTAAGTATCTTTATACACATGAATAATAGTTACATAAATTGTATTTTAATGAGAATGGACGAGCATAGAAAAAGAATGAAAGAGATACTATTATGGAACATTAATTGATCTTAGCTAGTAGTGACTGGACAAACAAAGTAAAACACACACACACACACACAAAAGAAAAAGGGCGTCTGCAGAAGCCATACCATAAATTAGCTATTCTTTTTTTTGGAACCGGTACGGCCCACATGGACATTGAACTATACATGTTATTCATATGTATGTATAGTCCAATGTCCATGGAAACAATGAATCAAAAAAAAAAAAAAAAAAAAAAAAAACAATGACAATGAACAACAGTAAATCGAAATGAAAGAAAAAGTTGATGAAAATAAATGACTCTCTCGATGGTTCATTTTTTTTTATTTGGTAAACGAACTGTAACACCTTGCATCATCTACATTTGGCCATTGTATCGGGAATGGTCCATAGATATTTCGGAGTACTAATTGACACTCACTATAACCGACATTAACACTATCATGCATCATATAGCAATATGTGTGTGTGTGTGACAGGAAACAGATGCCTCAAATGTTATCATCACTGGATGAACATTCTCTTGGTCATGATGATCATTGAATTGAACCGAATTTTCAAATTGACCATCGAGATGGAGAAAAGTACAAAGCAAAAAAAAAAAAAACTTCAAACGAGTCGATCATCACCCCATCATCATCATTGCTGTTCGGCTCAATGATTCTGTGATTCGCATGACTCGATTTATTTCTGATTAGATTTGATTTGGCAATGAGCCCCGCGATCACATTGATGATTAAATGACTGATGTACACAATTTCAATTGGGCGCCTTTACTTTGAAAATAAATCGAGTGTTTTTGATTATTGTTGTTAACCGTTGTAGCCATGATGGTTAGCAATTTATTTCATTTAGCACATCACTTCTGTCTATATGACATGTACGAAGGGTAAGAAGCAATTATTATTATTACATTGGATAGGATTGGCAAAAATGAAACAGGATTCATAGAAAGGTCATCACATGATTGGTTTCTGGCCAGATCTAATCCAATTATTATTAATAATAATCACACAAGTTATGTATTACCAATCCCATATCTTTCTTGAATTACTCATCGTCATCATCAAACTAATCGCCATTAGCCGATTAAGCTTAAACTTGAATAGATTGTAAACTGTTCGAAAAAAAATTTAAATGAATGAATATCCCTTTTTTTACTGAAAAAAACGATCAAATTTGTCAGCTTTGAAAAGCAGCAATTGAATTGAAAATCCATTTATGTGGCTAGATTATAAATTTGCTACCGAATATACAATATGGATTGATTTGCATGAAATGATCATCAGAAAAAAAGTATGATTGTCGATAAATCATCAAATGCAAAGTGGGGACAAGTCATTCAGAATTGCCGCATCCAACCGAGTGATGCAGAATCCATTAGTGAAAATTAGATTCCAAGTGAAATAAATCTGGCCGATGACAATGGAATATATAGGATATAATTCAACATGACATTTGAATTCAATTGACTATGACATTTGAAAATTTGGCCTTTTTTTCTCACCATCAGCTACTACCGAACAGCAGTTATCACAGATTGTTTTACTTGATAGTTAGTATGAAACTTGGCCATAAAACCTATAGGTTAGGGTCATTATACCAGACAGAGAGTGAAAAGAGATTGGACCAACAGCAAGTAAACATTGAGGTAATAATGCCAAATGGAACATTCTATATGCTTCAACGACTTTAGCAGCCAAAAACAACAATCATGATGATCAGTAGGCAACAACAGAAAGCAATGGTATTTAATTACAGACAAAATATTATATATGGATGGGTCATAAAACTATTCCAACGAACGAAAAATTCACCTTGAAAATGTTCGATAGACATCGTGATATGGTGGTGGCCAATCTCGATATGAAAACACAGTAGCTATTCTTTCAATAATAATCAATACTATATTGTGTGTCACATCGATTCATGACTAACAGATATGAAGAATGAGAGAGGGCAAAATCAATCAATGATCTATGATAGCTAGAACATAGAATCACGTTCACAATTGTTCAAAATGTTGGCTATGCATGCATGGAAATTAGTTTGTAGTTTGGATAACAACAACAACAAGAAAACAAGTGTAGCCCATTGACCGTTGCTTATTACATTCATGATGATGATGAAAAGAAAAAAAAATGATTGGCCAACTTGTTTGATCGAACCACAATGGTACACACCGGTCTGTGATGTTCGGACAATTCGGACAACCAGTTTATTTTTATTTTTTTTTTTTGCAGCAGCAACAATCAATATATTCATCGGGTTATATCTGTATGTATTGTGAATGGCTGTCATCAATGAGCCTGTAGATCAGGGCTAACTTTTTTCTCTCGCCAATAGTTTGATCTGAATCTATCATTACAAGAAACATTGTCCATTGATTGTTGTTATTATAATGAGATTGATAGGCAAAAAAATAGCATCCATGATGATGATAATGATTGCCAGAGAGTGAGACAAGCCTGTCATATTCCGGATTCAAGTGTGTGTGTGTGTGTGTGTGTGTGTGTTGTCATGCATGCATTTATTCAGATGACCATGATTATCTAACATAAATACATGCTTATACATACTTCCAGTGACATGTAATATGTTTTGTGATGAAGAGAGTTAACAAGATGTCCATGTTCACGATTATTATCATGGGTTAATCATAACCGTAATAACACACTCATCATCATCACCATGAATCGATCATGTTGGCCATCCATTCATTCATTCATTCATATGATCAATTTGTAAATCATGCAAATTGGCCACTGATAAATTCACATCATTATCATCATCAATTGGGCTAAATAATGAGCTTTTGTCAATGTTCTGAGATTGAATCCAATATATTGATATAATGAGAATACAGTGAAAAGTTATTGAAAAGTCGATTTCGATGGCAGGCTATTCAAACAATGTATGGTCTGATCAATCAGTGGCCGAATCGGAACAACAACAATAAAAAAAACCTAGTTGATGAGATTTAGCGATTGTGTTTAACATCATAGGATAAAAACAAACTGACTGTAGTAGTTGTCGTTGTCGAATTAGATGTTGGATCGATTACTTACTTGTTTATGTTAATGTTGTATGGCCGCGATTCATGGATTATACAGTTTAGTTTTGGGCCAAACCCGTAGATTAGTGATGTTGTTGTTGTGATGAGTTAAGCACAAATGGCCTTTACTACCGTAGTAGTTTAATTGGGGATTTGTTCACCAAAACACACGTATATTATAGATATCAGAACATATACACGCACACATGGTGTATACATCGAACATTTAAGATGATCGGATTTTTTTTTTCGTACCAAAATACCACAATTACTGTCACACTGTCACATAACCGAAAGATGATCAAAGAAGAAAAAAAAAAGATATCCAACTGGGATTCACGTTGTTGTGACAAAAAGTCCGATTATTTTTTGGCTAGGATTTAAAAAAAAAATGAACTCGAATGATCTATGTATCAAATAATGACCGATCCACATATACACAAACAACAGAGATAGAGAAACATGACCACACTGAACGAATACATCGAATCAACTGAGATGAGATGAAATGAAATGGCTAAGATGATGGGCAAGCAGGTGGATAGCGAGAAACGCGATCAACAATATTACGAACAGAAGAAACATCGATGAACAAAAAAAAATACAGACAAAAAAACATAGACAGTGAACACATCTATTTGGTCGGCAACGGCGGCTATTTGTGATGATGATGGCATCTCGATATCGAGTATGCGCTAGTCTCGACAAACAATTTCTTCTTCGGCGGTAGTTACTTGATTGTTTGGCCAAAAACAACCTACCCTCTCTCTCTCTTTCAGTCTCGTGTATGGCAGAGAAAAAGGTTCTTGAGGGAAATTGAATGTTGTAAATATTGTTGGTACGCTCAATTCGCTCGATTGTGAATTCAAGTGAATTTTCTCAGCCATCATCATAATCATAATTAGCAGTCCAAATCACAAAGTAAGTTTTCTCATACCATTCCATTCCATTTCACATTAGTAGTCATAATCTGTTTTTTTTTGTAAACAATGAATGAATTAATGTTTATATATTACATTGATGATTTAGTTGATTATTGAGAATTCATTTACCCAAGGATAATCTCATCATTTTTTTCTGTCTAATTCCGATTGGATAATTGACTATTTTTTGTATTGTTATTTTCATTCATACAATAGATGACAATGGTTCTGTAATCAAATGAGAAAAAGAGAAGATCATCCATTCAGAATGGTCTATCTAAGCCCATTCTCAAACTGTGGTCCACGAAAAAAAAATTTACTATCTGTTGTACAATAGATTAGTACACACAATGTTAGCAGTTGTCCACTGCCAAAAAAAGTTTGGAACACGCTGGTCTATCTCACACAGATAACATTTTTTCAAAAAAAAACACGGAGGTCATGTTGATGATAGGGAAGGGACCAAGGTCGAATGTTTGACCTCGACGACGACCACCAAACTAACTCAACAAACTTTAATTAAGGCCATTCGTTTGATCGATTCGTTTGGGCTGGTCAACAACAATGTCCATTGATAAAGATGATTATCAATGACCAAACCTCTATATATTCATTTGTACTTTCATCACAATTCGGTCATCTTGGAATTGTTGATGATGATGACCTTTCCACGTAATAATGAATTCTTAGGCCTAATGTTTATAATTCCAATTGTTCGGTTCAATGGCAGGCAATCGAAATAAATTGGATAAACCAAAGTCAGCTATGTCTAGTGAAAAGCTAGCAATTTACTGGCAAATGGATTTTGATTCCATTAACCAGAATCCCAGTAATTCAACGTGATCCGGCTGTTGTAATGCTAGATTGAAGCTAAATATTGCAAATCTGATTCAATCACACACACACACACACACTCCCTAAGGCTCATTTGATTCATAGATCCACATTCAATTTCTGCTAAAATGATCTTTGCAAATGTTAAAAAATCGCAGTGAAAAATTTTCTGTTTGGTCAGCAATATTTTTTTTTGTTTGCCGCTACATTAATCATTAAAGATGAATGCAAAAAAAAGTTGAGCAAAAAAGGAAAAGGAAATAAATATAAAAAAGCAATGCAAATTAATGCATTCGAGTAGACGGCAACAATTAAAAAAAAACACACATAGGCAAAATGATTTAAATCAAATTTTATTGATCATGACATTGAAATGAGTGAATGAATGTTTGTGGACCATCAATCTGTCATCATACAATACAATGGCCAACATTTACGAAAACAACAACAACAACAATAAGTGAATTGATGATTGTTGTGACCAAAGGGCATCATCATCAATGATGATAATGATCCACGAGCGTGAGATAAACCAGTGGCATTGAAAGATATAAAAAAAAAACAATCATCAATCCACCTACCATGGTTAATTGAATCGAAATGTATGTACATACAACACACACACACACAATGCTACTAACTCTTGGTGTGAAATTAGAAACTGGATGCTGTAGCATTATAAACAGGCTTGAATGTTTCAATGAAGGCCATCAAAATATATTCACATCATTCTTTCCATTTTCTTCATTCATTCAGGTCTTCCGTTCCGTTCCGCTCGGTTCGAATTTTTTTTTTTTGGTTGCTTGGTTGATCGCATCGAACGAGAGTGAATGAAACCAAAGATTCTCATTTACCATTTTTTTTTTGCCTATAAATCTCTTTGATAGCTTTACTACACACATTTTTACGATCATACATTTGTGTCGATCTCATAACTTTTTTTTTTCTTTCTCTTGCTTTTTCTCACTTACACTTATTCACCATTGGAAAAAAAACAATCTGCATGACTAGATTAGATTCGTGCACATTCAACCCCTCGAATCTCTTTCCCCTGCAAATGCAAATCATCCGAAATGTAAGAATCTGTATGAATGCACGAACCACGACCAGCCAATTGGCCCACATGATATTAATGTCATAAAATGGAAAATCACTTTCAACGATACGCATGTCTCACCATGATCTTTAACCATTTTATTCTTATTGAACTTTATTTCTTCTGTTCTCGAACGAAAACACAGAATGTCAACACACACACACACACACACAGAATTCAATTTGAAACCTGGTTTTTTTAGTTCCACTTGACAAATAAAGAGGAAAAAAACATAATAATGTTATTTGCTATTCACAGTGGACAATAATCAGCTTCAGGCAATTACATTAAAAACATCAATTCAATCATCTAAGGATCCTGTTGGATCGATGATATTTTGCTATTGAATTATTAGTCATTCGTCTATATCCATGAGACTAAATAATTGACAGGAAGCGATCGGGAAAAAACTAATCTTTTCGGTGTGTGAAATCAAAATGTCCAATTTAATTGAAACAATCATTAAATGATCATATTGGTGGAACGTGGGCAGGATTTAATGGAGATTTATACGACAAACGTTCGATTTGTTCGTTGCTGTTGCTAGTATGGGCCAAATCGAAATCCATCGTCGGCGTCGGACATAAATTATTTTTACACTACACACGCACACACACACACATGACACGAACGTTCTCTGATTTCAACTTTAAATCCCTCTTTCATCCCAAATGGCTTTTCCATTATACACACAATATTCCGGTATACAAATTGGCGCCATAAAAAAAATCGAAAAAAATAATTCCTACTGCAGTGCCATCTATCCGTTCAGAATTGTAAATGTTTCATTACATGAATTGAGTGCGTAAAATTATCATCGTATAAAAAATTGGCCAGTCATATGAGATACATTCGACAATCATGGGTCCTAGTCGTCCATTGGATAACGTTAATCCGACCGTATATGTGAAACGTCAAGATCGACCAATTAAAAAAAGTGAATTCGATGATGGTATAATCGATGAGATCGATTCGCGAGAAATATTCGACCTGATACGTGGTATCAAAGATCCGGAACATCCATTAACATTGGAAGAGCTGAACGTCGTTAACGAAGAACATGTCGATGTGGACACCAAAAATAAAGTTATCGAGGTAGTGTTCACACCCACTATCGAACATTGTTCTTTGGCCAGTCTTATTGGGTTATGCATCCAGGTGAAATTGTTACGTTCGATACCTGCCACATACAAAGTGATGGTTAAAATTGCTCCTGGATCACATTCAACCGAAGAGATTGTCAACAAACAATTAGCTGACAAAGAACGAGTGGCCGCCGCTCTTGAAAACAACAAACTATTAGAAGTGATCAATCAATGTCTTATCGATTCATTATGAGCAAAGTTTTTATTGAACATTTTTTGAATTCTTTATTCTGAATAACATTACAACACAGTTCAATAATAATTAATTAAAAAACAAAATAAAATCGCCTAATGTGTCCTATTGCTACCGGGTTGTCCCAATATGGACATCTTAAAGAATGATTTCACAGCACTACATCGTACGATTCGTTTGTGGTCAGCTAGTGTTGGCCGTAAACTTTGTATGTATTGTGTACGTAAGCCGATCAAATGTTTCTCGCCAAACAAATCGATCATTGCGGCTATATTATTCAATGCTGCTTTACGAACATGCAACAAAGACGATTGTTTGGCCAAATCGATGACTAATCCAAGTACGGTCAACACTTGAGGTTCAATCCAATTTGGTTGTTCGGAAAGGATGTACTTTGACAGAAAATTGAGACATAGCAGGCTGATCGTTGGTGAATCGACAGCGCCCAGACCTTTGACAATATACGGAACGTATTTATCGGTAGGCACAGGTATGTATTTGAGGTGTGAAAGCAATATGTAAAGAACGGTCACATCATCGGTTTGTTCGTAATGACGACAGAATACGTGATGTAGTTCCAACGAGAATCGGCTGCTACAAACTAACGTGTCGTTATCATGTCTGGATTGCCAATAATCATTCTGTGAATAAAGTACATCGGCCAGTCCGGTTATAGCATTACGAGTTGAGCTAGATGCTTGTTCGAGCGAATTGAGTATTTTTTCAACATATTGATACAAGTGTTTATTGTTTGCCATTCGAAATAGACTTTTGGCCATCCAAATAATCGAATGAAGATACAAATAGTATTTTGGTTCGCATTGGCTTCTTGACGATTCGAACGTTTCCAAATGTTTGGTCAATAAATTGGAAAGAATATTAGAATCTGTCAATTTGGCTATGATCTCGGCCAGACACATGCTAAACAACTGAACAATTTCTTCATTATAAACAGTAAGATCAAATGAAACAATCTGATCGAATAGCTCAACAAGATAGTCTACGTTCAAGGAATTGTCATTACAAGTCCTTAGACATGAATAGACCAAATGTAGCAATAATTCGATTTGAATATCTACCGAGCTATTCACCGCGATGGACAATATTCGATCTGGTTCATACAATGAACGAAGATCTTTGCTATTGAAAGCCATCCATACTTTGTCAGTAATTTGTTGCCATATATCTTTTGATGAACAATTTAATAGAAAATGGTGGAAAAGTGAGGCGAATTGTCTTATCACATCGCTTGGGCATGGCGCGGTTGTTGTTGTTGATTCGATGAAACAAGTTCGAATCAAGAGCCTTAAGAATCGAGATATGCAAAGTTTGTTAAAATCAGCTATCGAAAACAAATCTTGTTGAGTGGATAAACGGCTCACACATATCCGAAATGTACCGATCATATTGGTAAGGTATACAAGATGATCAACATTGTTGAGTGTGAAAAGAACTAAACGATCCATAAGAAAAGTGACTATTGATATGATTGTTGATGATGATGATGATGATTGGCACGAACTTCGCAATATGTTTTGCAAGAAAAGCATTTGTCTCTCATCGACAAGTGTCGAACACTCTGTAATTATAAATCAAAGGTAAATTCTAGATTTATTAGAATTCTCACTTACCGATTTCCTGCATGATATTGGCAACATATAGCTCATAGATTAGCCCATCGTATTGTTGGGCAAGCGTTTCGATTAATAATAAACAGGCGTTCCTAGATATTGATATAAAAGTTATGAAAATGATGATAATAATAAGGAATCAACTTACTGTAATTGAGAATCATATCCGGATTGTCGAACACAATTAATGGCAAAGTGGATTGTCAACATAAGGTGATCCTTGTCGAACCGAGATAGCCACAGGTATTCGTTAAGAATACGAATAACCAATTCCTGTAATTCTTTAGATTTATTCGGACTATTTTCTATCAATAACCGCATTAGATCACAGGCTTCTTTGGCCGGAATGTTCACGCCAATACGATGGCCATGTTTCATCATCAATAAAAACGAAATAAGACTATGTGTCTGACCATCGGAATCTGTTTTAAATATGAAACTTTGTAAAGAAATTGGCGCTACTCGATCAAAGAAGTCAGTGAAGACAGAAACATGATTGCCAGAGAAAGCAATTAATATGCGTCCAGATGAACATGCAAGCTGTAATTCTGGCGTTTTGAATGATATCTCCAGATCGGCCCATATTTTGTTCATCAATGTTGTCTGAAATTCGCATTCTAGTGTAATCACATCGGCCAATTTGGACAATGTGGCTAATGCATTGTCTGCTAATTCGTCGTCATCGATTTTCGGTTTAAGCGTATCGATTCGGATGGATATCCAAAGCTCGGCCATATGTTTAGCAACGTCCTGGCTAGAATAGGTGGGCAAAGCCATTTGTAACAACCGATATGATGACAATTTCGATTCAATCGATTCGGATTCCAATTTCTCAAGAGCCAATGGCATCACATATTGACAACATTTTGGATTGGCCGTTATTGCTTCGTTCAAAAGATGGCTTAGTTTGATTTTGGTTTCCAGATATTTATCTTTTTTGTGGCTGTTGTATATAATCGGGAAATAGCAAGCTATCGAATCGAAAATATCCTCCATGAACATCTCTAAACATCAAGAAAAAGTTGAAACAACAACATCATTCTTGGCATTCATTATTATGACAAACCGAAGCTTGAAATAGCGGCTATCTGACCAAACAGTGGAAATATAATCATCAAACATATTGGACTGGTTTCTGTGTCAACGATTCGTAAAAAACCGTATACAAAATTGGCTCCTAAACTGATGAAATCGTCACGGAAACGTTGCCATAAGTAATCGATCAGTTGATAAATCGTTGATTTGCATTCAGGTTTTAGCATCTGGATAGGTAATTCATTTTGAATGGCAAAAAACAACGATGAAGCCATTTGAAAAGTAAAATGCTCAAAATGACACTAGTTCACAACGATAAAAACAGATCAGATCAAAAACGGTTGTTTCTCTAATTTAGCAATACCAATTTACCAAAGAGTCGAGTCCAATAATTGATCGTTCTATCACGTAACTTTTGTCGCCAAGTCTTGCTATAAAATATTCGACGAGACAGTTGACTATTACAAGGACAGCACATTATTATATCTTAAGCAATAAACACACAATAAGATTAATTTACCATGACTTTTACTACAGATTTTTCTGTCAACCTTTTTCAATATCATCGATAAAGTGTTCATTCCATGGGCACGTTTTTCAGCATCACCTACTGTCAAAAAGTCTCTGAATATATAAATTATTAATGAATGAATGAAATAAATGAAGAATAATAATAAAGATGATGATAATAAACACATACTTCAATGAAACTATCACGTTGGTAATATCACATTGTCCATTGTTGATTTCTGTTATAAGCAAATATACGTGAATTGCATTCATGTCAATCATTCATCACAGAAATGATATTCAATTTACCTGTTGATAATTTATCAATGTCCAGATCGTTATCTGTTGTCTGTCCAGTCAAACATTCCATCATCATTAGGTCCTTATTATGAATTGATGATAATGATAACCAATGGTTATAAATTACAAAAAAAAAATCAATTAAATCAAATGAATCACATGTAAAAAAAAACGATTGTATTTCCATCTATTGGTTGCAGAAATTATAAATTATTAGGATCAAAGATTTCATGGTTGATAAAGCATGCATGCATGCATGCATAAATTGTGTAAATTGAAGACAGTTTTTTTTGTATAGTCTGAAATAATAAATTTTTGCGCCAAAAAATTTTCTCTTTGTTATACCCATTACACAGAGACAATAAAGAAGAGCACATTTCATTTTCATTCTCTCATTTTTCACTAAATAATAATAAGCGTAACAACAAGAAAAGGAAAAATCTTTCCGTTGGAAATAATTTTTTCATCATCGAAAAAAACAACGTTTTGAAAACGTTTTTCGATTTTACTTTTCAAAAGAATTTAATTCATCAATTATTTAAGTGAACGTTTTGTTTGTTTCGTTTTTTTTGCAGATATATAAACTTTAGAAAAATGTTTGTCTTCAAACGTGATGGCCGAAAAGAATCAATCATGTTCGACAAGATTACATCGAGAATTCGAAAACTTTGTTATGGATTGAATATGGATTTTATTGATCCACCTGCAATCACTATGAAGGTATTATTGATATTTTATTGGAAATTTATTCAATTTAAAAAAAAATTCATTTTTTTTATTTTTGTAATTTCGAAATATTTTGATTTTTTGGTTCATCTCCATCCATTAACAGGTGATCAATGGCCTTTATTCAGGTATTACCACTGTTCAATTGGATGAATTGGCTGCCGAAATTGCGGCAACAATGACCACAAAACATGTTGATTATGCTAAACTGGCCGCAAGGATTTCCATTTCAAATTTACAAAAAGAAACAAAGAAAAATTTTTCCGATGTCGTACATGATTTGTATACGATGAAGAGTGAAAAAACTGGCAAACCAATGCCATTGATTGCCGATGATGTTTATGAAATTATTATGGCCAATTCGGAACGATTAAATTCAGCGATCATTTATGATCGAGATTATCGATTCAATTATTTTGGTTTCAAAACATTGTATCGTTCGTATTTGTTGAAAATTGGTCAAAAAGCTGTTGAACGTCCACAACATATGTTGATGCGTGTTGCCGTTGGTATTCATAAAGATGATATTGATGCAGCAATCGAAACATATAATCTTATGTCCGAAGGATGGTTTACACATGCATCACCTACATTGTTCAATTCTGGTTCGTATATATAGTTGATTATAATACACCATTCGCCATATGTTTGATGTTATTCTATTCAATTCAAATTCTCGTATTAGGTACACCAGGTCCACAAATGTCATCTTGTTTCTTATTGACAATGGGCGATGATAGCATTGAAGGCATCTATGATACATTGAAACAATGTGCAATTATTTCGAAATCTGCCGGTGGTATTGGCCTTAATGTTCATTGTATTCGTTCACATGGTTCATATATTGCTGGTACGAATGGTTTTTCCAATGGTTTAGTACCAATGTTACGTGTATTCAATAACACTGCACGTTATGTGGATCAAGGTGGTGGAAAACGTCCAGGTGCATTTGCTATCTATTTGGAGCCATGGCATGCAGATATTTTTGCCTTTTTGGATCTAAAAAAGAATACTGGTTCCGAAGAGCTACGTGCACGTGACCTATTCTATGCATTGTGGATACCGGATTTGTTTATGAAACGTGTTGAAATGGATGGTATGTGGTCATTGATGTGTCCAAATGAATGTCCCGGACTTCATGAATGTTGGGGTGAAGAATTCGAAAAGCTATATGAACAATATGAGCGTGAAGGTCGTTATCGGTCACAAGTGAAAGCACATGATTTATGGTTTGCCATTTTGGATGCACAAATTGAAACTGGTACTCCATACATGGTATATAAAGATCATTGTAATCGTAAATCAAATCAACAAAATTTGGGAACCATCAAATGTTCAAATCTTTGTACGGAAATTGTTGAATATTCATCAGCTGATGAAATTGCCGTTTGTAATTTGGCTTCAATTTCATTGCCACGTTTTGTCGATCCAAAGCTTTTTACATTTGATTATGATAAACTCAAAGAAATTGTTAAAGTAATGACAAAAAATTTGAACAAAATTATCGATAGTAATTTTTATCCATTACCGGAAGCGAAACGTTCGAATCTACGTCATCGACCGATTGGAATTGGTGTACAAGGTTTAGCCGATGCATTCAACTTAATGCGTTATCCATATGAAAGTCTCGAAGCTAAACAAATGAATATTCAAATATTTGAAACAATTTATTATGGTGCATTGGAAGCAAGTTGTGAATTGGCTGAAAAATTTGGTCCATATGAAACATATGAAGGATCACCAGTATCGAAAGGTATTCTACAATATGATATGTGGAACCGTACACCAACCGATCTTTGGGATTGGAATGAATTGAAAGCAAAAATTGCTCAAAATGGTATACGAAATAGTTTACTTGTTGCACCAATGCCAACAGCATCTACAGCACAGATTTTAGGCAATAATGAATCATTCGAACCATATACATCAAACATTTACACTAGACGTGTAATGTCTGGTAGTTTTGATGTTGTTAATCAACATTTGCTCACTGATTTAATCAATCTTGGCCTATGGAGTGAAGAATTGAAAACCATTATCATTGCTAATCGTGGTTCAATACAGAATATCGATTCAATACCGGATGATATTAAAGCGTTATATAAGACTGTATGGGAAATACCACAGAAATGTATTGTTGATATGGCCATTGATCGTGGTGCATTTATTGATCAAAGTCAATCACTCAATGTTCATATGGCTGAACCATCTAAAGCAAAAATTACTTCGATGCATTTCTATGGATGGCGTAATGGATTGAAAACAGGAATGTATTATTTACGAACAAAACCGGCAGCACAAGCTATACAATTTACAGTGGATAAATCCTTGTTGAAATTGAAACAAAACAGTGAAAAGGAACAAAAACAACCATCATCATTGAAAACAAAACCTACACCGGAAGAGATTCTACGTTGTTCATTGGAAAATCGTGAAGCATGTCTAATGTGCTCTGGTTAATGTGACCATTAATAATGTTTTATTTCATGACATTTCAATGATGTTTCTCCTTTTTTTTAAATAACCCAAGAACAATGATATATAATTGATTAATTTGTAAAACAAAAATTGAAATTAAAATTAAAAAAATAAACAACCTAACGATTGGTCAGCTTGATTCGATAATTTTTGAAATTTAATTTTTATCATAATTCATTGTCGTCGTTTTATGTGTTGTTTTACAATGTTGGTAGTAGTATCTTTCTCTCTCTCTCTCTCTCTAATATGATGTATGAAATTGAAATTTGATTAGAGAAATTTGAAACATCAAATTTTAAGCATGCAATAGATTAATGCTAGACATATATTATTAATTAAAGGATCTATTCTTTTTTCATAAATAATTGTTGAAAATAAAAACATTCGTTATTCGAATATCTGTCGAATTTATTGTTGGATAAGATTTTTTTTCGTTTTAATAATTATTAATAAATATATCATATCCTATCATATATGAATGAAACAATCTATCTATTAATATAAATCTGCGAAGTCATTTCTATTGTGTGTGTGTGTGTGTGTGTGCGTGTGTACGTAAATGATGAAATTGTAATATAATGTGATGTGAAAGAAGAATGGCAGAAAGGTAGTAGCATGAAAATTAACTATGACAACCTGTCCATTCAGATGTTCATAAATTGTGTATTGTGAGTATAAAGCAAGGGAAGCTCCCCCTTTTTCCTAAAATTTTTTTTTTATCCCTACGCGTCTCTCTTTCTTGTGTTGAGTTTTTCGATAAATTGTGTATGTGAGTGTGTGTGTGTGTTGTATATCGGTGTTCATTTTTGTCTTTTTTTTGTTGCGTTGATTATTCACTAATCATTTTTCTATTTTTTCTAAAGATCACAACTCAGATTAAACAACAAACAGTCCATTTCAGTCAAAATCAGTATTTGTTCCGTTCCATTCACATCATCGGATCATCATCATCAGCTTCATATAAACACAGATAATAATACAGACAGATACATAAGGAAAGAAAAACATAATTTCCATCATCAAACGGTGATGATGATGATGGTGGTGGTGACTTCAACCATAATCAATTAATTTGAAGAATTATAAATTTTTTTATTGATAAATAAATCGACATAAACGAATCAATCATGAAGATCGATCGTTCGAAATCTAAAAAGAGTTCATCGGAGGTGGTATGTGTCCCTTTTTATATTTGATTGTTTAATATCTTAAATTTATCATCATCACTAATCACTAATTTTATGATCCACAGCCTTTCGATTGTAAACTATTGATTGAAGAACTTAAACAATGTAACGAAGATCAAATGTTAATCGTCCTTAAACGGATAAAAACATGGAGCTGTGGAAAATGTGAATTATATCATTGGATCGATGTGCTAGATTTATTCGATACTATATTGGAAGAATGTTGCCGTAAAGAATCTTCTGATCAATGGATTTTACCCGTTGATTTGGCCGAAAATGTCAAGGTAAGTTGTATAATTTCATTCATTTTTTTCTGAAACCTATAGCATTAATTGCAACCAAAATCAAACAAAATTCCCTAGAAACGTGAACTTTTATTGGCCGTAATATCGTTTACATCGCTTTTGATCGAACATAGTTTCTCACGACATTTATACAATTCGATCGAGGTAAGAATATCCTATAGCATTAATATTTTTTTGCCTAAATTTTATGTTTGTTTTTTGTTTCAGCATTTGATCACATTACTTTCGTCGAACGATATGCAAATCGTTTTGGCCATACTAAATCTGTTATTTGTATTCAGCAAACGATCAAATTTTTTCTCACGTATCAGCATTGATCGGCGACAATCATTAATGTCCAGACTATATTATTTAGCCGAAAATTGGGGCGGTAAAGATCAAGGATTTGGCTTGGCACAATGTTGCCAAAATTTGCCATTATCCAGTTATCCATCAAATGCAACTACGTTTAATTTTGAATTCTATTTAAATAATAACACCAATAACCAACAAACAACAAATAATGAATCTAAAACAAAATCAACAACACAAAGACCATTGGGTGATAATGGTACATCAGCAAGTCAAAAATTCAATAATATTGTACGAATTCACATTGAAAATGTACATCTAATCGATAAACCTGTATCGATATTGATGGCCGAAATTGTTGAACAATATCAAATACCAGTTGAACAACAGATGCAGATATTCACACAGTTACGATTGACGAAAAATTTTGCCAATTATCACACACGTTTGCAATGTGTACAGGCACGAATCAATGCCTTGTCCATAATGGGTATGTTATATAATTGATCATTAACTCTCGAGGAATAAAAACCATTTTTTGTTTTATTTTCTCATTAGTCTATTGTCAAGCGATGTCCTTAAATCAGGAAGGCTATTATTCCCTATTATATAATGGTCTAATTGAAGAATTAGTTGAGGTTTTAGAACTACGTCATCCGGAACTTATTGAGATAAAATCAGCTTCATTGAAAACATTAACATCGATTATACATTTGGATCGTAATTCAAAGATGAAAGTCATTATTGATTCAACCGGAGCGAATTCTTATCATGGATTTTTGCCAATATTAGTACGAAATTGTATTCAATCACTTATATTAGGCAATATGGAAGAATATCCATTGAATTTTGTAACAGCATTATTTTCATTTCTTTATCATTTGGCATCATATGATAATGGATGTGAAGCATTGGTTCAATGTGGTATTATGGAATCATTGCTTCGTGTGGTCGATTGGAAAGGCCCGAAAGCAGATGCTGATGTTGATCATTTAATGTTTGTTACACGTGCTGTACGTGTTATCGATCTGTTGACCAATCAATTTATCGATATGAATGCATTTCAATCAAATAATGGATTGAATACATTTGTACAACGATTGGAATATGAAGTGAATATATGTCGTACAGAACAGCCTTATGAAATTGAAGTGCCAGCTGATAGAATAAATCGTGACAAACATTATACATATGATGATGAAATTCACATTGAAGAAAGTGAAAATAAAAATCAAACTTCAACAACGCAACATCAACTTCAGGAAACACCGATGGAAGTAGAAATTTCAAATCCTGAATCAATGGCCGAAGCTTCCACTTCGAAATCATCGACTGTGGTAAATCAACCAGTGGTTAACAATAATCTTCAATGTTATCCACAGCGGGCTGCATTGTTGAAGTCAATGTTAAATTTCTTGAAAAAAGCCGTACAATGTACCGGTTTTTCAGAATTAGTACGACCATTGATGTATGGAAATTTTCCACGATCATTACGACATATAATAAGCAATGCTGAATATTATGGTTCATCATTGTTTTTATTGGCCACCGATGTTGTCAGTGTTTATGTATATCAAGAACCATCATTATTATCGGTCATACAAGATAATGGTCTAACCGATGTTGTATTACACGCCCTTTTGGTTAAAAATGTACCACCGACCAAAGAAGTGTTGGCATCTTTACCAACTGTATTTACAAGTTTATGTCTAAATCATCGTGGCCTAGAAGCATTCATAGCGTTACGGCCATTTGAACGTTTTTTTAAAATATTTTTATCACCCGATTATCTACAGGCAATGCGTCGTCGCCGTAGTAATTCGGGTAATGATACAGCCACAACATTGGGTAATGCAATGGATGAATTGATGCGTCATCAACCAAGTCTTCGTTCGGATGTTATTGGTGCAATTCTAAAATTATTGGAGGAAATCTGTAGACTTGGCAGTGATCTAAGATATATTTGCACCAAAGCAAGTAGTAGTAGCAGTAGCAGTAATAGTGTCAGTACGTCAAAATCATTCGGAGCAATTGGTACTGGATCGGCTACCGATGGATCTCATCATCATCACCACCATCATGGTAGTACATCGACTGCCATGGCTTTCGATGAATCGTCATCGAACGCTGTCGATGGTGATGGTGATGGCAGTAATCAAATTTCCGGTAGCAATGTAAACAATGATTCTAGTTCATCGGAAGAAGATGATTATGATGATGATGATACTACAACGACGACAACAACAGCTGCAGCCGCAACAACCACTTCCGCCGCTGATCAGAATCCCACAGATTCATCATCAACAGACGTCATTGCAACAGAAGCAACTACGATACCGTCCGCATTATCATCATCATCGACATCATTAACAATATCAAATGATGATCCAATGAAATCTCAAACACGTCCAGCTATAGCACAAACAACAACATCTGCTGTATCTTCGGATATAACGAATATTGTTGAATCGAATCGTCAACAGATACCATTAATTGATTATATTCTCAATGTGGTAAGTGACTAGTCTTTCTAAAAATGTCAAAATTTTTTTAAACATACCCATTGATTAAAAATTTGCACATTGAACATTTAATGCACAATAGTGGATAATTTTTATCCATCGATGTATGACAATGTAAAGATATTAGAAAAAATTATGAGATCTGAGGGTTTTATGATTCTGATCTGATTTGTTTTGTTTAATCTGGAATCATCTGATTTTTTAACGATATTTTTATTTTTGTCTGTTTTAGATGCGATTTCTTGAGGCAATTTTGGCCAATAATTCTACCGATGATCATTGTCAAGAATTTTTACATCAAAATGGCCTTGATCCATTGTTCCGTTTGTTAAAATTACATAATCTACCATTGGATTTTCCCGTAATGCCATCCTGTTATTCGGTGGCTACAGTTTTGAAAACATTGTTGAATTTGACACATGAAAAAGATATATTCACCAAAGGCTTAGAAAAATTGAAAGAAATACTTGAAAAATTAAGCCCATTATCACAAACAGCTAAAACATTTAATGGTAGCATCCTGCTTGAAGATCTAATCAATCATTTAAGTACAAAGAAAGCAGTGAATTTTGTTACACCTGTATTGCAGCTAATGGCCGCTGCACATGCATACATTGTAATGTTTCTACAAATTTGTCGTACTAGTCAAGGAGAAATTCGTTCCATTTCCATTGATCAATGGGGTTCACCGTTAGGTATTGAAATAATTGGCCTATTGAGCCAGCTTTATATAGCCCTAGTATGGGAAAGCACTCTATTGCTTGGCCTAAATGATTCTACATCACAAAAATATGAATTTGTGAAAATTCAAATTGAAAAACTCAATACATTATTGAAGCAAAGCGTTAATAATGGCAACAATCAAGCATCCACATCATCAGATATGATGATGAATGTTGATGGTACATTGTCGGCAATGTCTCCAATGGAAGTGGATAATTTTGATGCTAATAGTGATCCATCTATTTCTGCTTCGATTAGTCAAGATAATTCTAAAATTTCAAAAAATTCATCAAAATTGATAATGGCAACAAATTCGGCTGTTGCTGTTAAATCATCATCACATCATCAACATCAAAAATATATAAAACCATTATTAGCTGTTGCTTCACGTCTTGGTCGTGCTTTGGCAGAATTGTTTGGCCTTCTGGTTAAGGTAAGTTTGTCTCATTTTATTATTTGCGATAAATCTAAAGGCAAATTCGATTATGAAATTTATAGCTTTGTGTTGGACCATCACCAAGACGTCGTAATCATCATCAACCATACTTGATGAATTCACAAACAATGACACCATCAAAACCGGTACAAAATATTGCTAAACATTTGAATGTTCTTCTTTATAATGGTCTTTCTTGGCAACCATCATTTGACACGAATATACCAAAATTTCGGTAAGTTCGGAATTATTAACCAGTTTTTGTAGACAAATAAGATAGCCCTTGGTATCTACCTGCACGGATAAAAATTCCGTGTTGGATCGTTTTGTGGCTTATATCATAATAAACACTATGTGCATCGTTAATTTGTTTCATTTTTGATTTTAATTGAAACAAATTTGGTTCTTAATTCTAATGTGACATTTTTGTTTTTTCAGGCTCACTTTCTACGTATGTTCAATCGGTTTCTCAAGTCCAATGTTGTTCGATGATCGTAAATATCCATACCATATAATGTTACGAAATTTCATACTTAGTGGTGGACAGGATGCATTTTTTGATTGTTTTCATATGGCTTTCGAGCAACAATCGAATAATTCATCACCCGATTTACCGGACGGTATTATCGAATTTCTTGATTCATGGCTTTTGTTGTTGGAAAAGATGACCAATCCGCAAACATTGTTTGATTCTCCACATGCATATTCATCATCGAAACAAACGCCATTAGATCAATCGGATGATATTCATTTTGATCCGATTCAATATTTGATTCGTACACATAAGGTTTGTGTTTATTTTTAATGATTTTTTTTTTTTTGGTTATAATCCTTTTTTCGATCACATACAGAAAGCTTTTCCTTGTATAATGGAATTATGGAATAACAAATTATATCGTATCAAGTGTGATCGTGTTATTGAATCGTTGATAACAATATTTTCACATTTACTCAAAGGTGAAACAATAATTGAAAAACATCTTGGCCTAACAAAAGTTGATGGAACGAATGCGACAACATCAGCTTCTACATCATCAGGTGCTAGTTCATCCTCAACATTTACAATTGAGCCATTAGGTGAACTTATATTCAGTAGTGTTGGTGGTGAGGATGGATCATCATCAACATCATCGTCCGTTGCAGCTACTTCGGCATCATCCACAACTGCACAATCAGCTGCCACTCGTTCTGAACAGAATCCAAATGTTCAGACATTAATGGAAATGGGATTCTCTCGTGATCTGGCTATTGATGCATTATTACAAACCAGTGATGATGTAAATGCAGCTACAGAATGGATTCTGCAACATTTTCCTCGATTTTTGGTAAGTTGTTTTAGCTATTAAACAAAGTGCACCTATTCAAAGGCTGTATGGAGATTTTCGATCTTTGTGTGGTCACTTATTTTGTTCCATCCAGTTACAAATGGTGCAAAAGTAACTAGTTAATAAATTCAATTTCTAGAATTTTATTATTTTTTGAAATTTGCTTTTCCACTTACAAGCTCTTTTTTACTCTATTTTTTTCTAAAAGTCGGCTGATAATGAAGAAGAAGAAATGATAAGGGCCATTGCTTTATCTTTATCCGATAATTCTGATGAAAGTGGCAGTACCACGGTCGTTGAAACATTAACAACAACAACAAAAACTGTGGATAATAAATCTAAACAACCGGAAAAAGCAGAACCGAAAAATAAGGATAAACCTTTGGTCAACGAAATTCCACTTCGTAAGGATGAAATCAATACATTCACGGATAATATCCTTGTTGGTATATTGAAACTTATCGATCAACTTCCAATCATACATAAATGTTGTGAATTATTGATTTCCATATCAAAACGAAATGGTCATCAATGGTTTGAAGAAATGTTCTCTCAATTGATCGATGATATAATACGGAATATTGCAGAACTGCAAAAACATACATCCTATATTAAACAACAAGAAAAATCGACAAAAAGTACAGCCATTGAATGGGCACACAAATTGGTTGCATTACCGGAAGCTTATTATCTTCAATCACGAATTCATCTACTTGTCCTATTGTTCAATGAAACAAAGAATTTATGTGCTAAACAAATAGCTCAATCTGAATTGTTGAATCATCTTATTGATCTGTTGGAAAATGGATCATATTTGTTGAATGTTGCATATGAAAAAGAACGATCGATTCCGACACCGAAATGGGTGGCACCATCAATTCTATTGATTGATCTTTATGAAAAAAATGCCCTCGCCTGTAGACGTCGAAAACGCCTACTACTTGAATCGTCAAATTGTCGTCGTACGTGGAAATATTTTGATGAACGTACAGTTCGTTGGTCTGCTTATCAAACTGAAACGAATAAAACTATTGATGAAGCTTTCCGTTCGGGTGAACAATTCTGTAAAATACAAGTTGCCCGACGTCGTTATACAGTGAATTTCACAACAATGTTACAAATTAATGATGATACGGATAATTATCGACCAATCATGTTTTTCGTTGACTCGGATACATCGAAAACTCAAGAAAATAAATCCACTTCCAAGAATGATACTAGTAATGACATTACGAATAATAAAGATGACGGGAAAAAATCCAAAGATAAAGATTCTGTTGAAACGAAAACTGCAACTAAAGATGAAGAACAATTTATTGCCGATATAGTTGAAGTAGATTTTCTTGACGAAAAACAATGTCATACAATTATTGAAGCTATGGTCAATTTTATTCAATTACCAATCGATTCCGACGCATTGAATGCCATTATACGTTTGATATTACGTTTGACACGAAATTATGATAATGCATGCTTTTTTGTCGAAAAGAATGGCATCAGTCGTTTGTTGAAAATACCACAATGCTCCATTTTTCCAGGTTTTGTTCCAATGGCTACCTTGATCATTCGACATATGATGGAAGACAGTTTATCATTGCAAACATCGATGGATAAGATTCTTCGTGCTCAAGCAAATTCACCAAATTCCATACGTGAACTTCATTATATGTTTCGTCATTTCAGTCCGGCTGCATGTCGTGATAGTGATACATTTAAAAAATCGGCAATGAATATTCTTCGTATTAATGTACCGCAGACAATGACCACACCACGTCGAATGACACAGGATGAAGAGCGTATGACTCCACTGTTACGTGCTGTAATGCCTTCCAGTGGATCGAAATCTGTTACGCATAGCAATGATGGTAGCCAAAACACACAACATTCTGAATCATCATCTTTGGAGATATCTAAAGTTGCCAAAGATATAATTTGTGAATTACTGAACATATTACCTTTACAATATTCATTACAACAAGAGTTGAACAAGACAAAAAAATCGTCTCAACAACAGCCTGTGGGTGTTGTTTCAGCTGATGATTCTGCAGGTAATTCAAAACCAAATGATCCTGCTTCTGTCATTTCAAGCAACAACGATAAAGATTCGTCAAAAGAACAAGATGTATTTCGTACCCATACAATACTATCGATTTTGGCCGAATTAACAATATCTTACCATTCAGTAGCCAAAGTGATATGTGAACATACATATACTTTTTTGTATAAGGATACAATACTTGATGATTGTACGGCACTTTCATTCATATTGGATAATCTACTATCATATGCTCAACATTATGGTGATAAAGAATGTGCAACATATTCGCGTGCATTATTTACTGCCATTGCATCAGTACCATTCTCTCACGATATACATCAAACATTAGTGATTGAAATCAAAAATGCCCTGAATCGTGCCGTTTTTCTACCGGAATCATATGAAAAACATGCTAAAATACAAGCATTATCACCGTTGATCACTTCGATTGTTGAAGCTCAATGTACATCTTCATCATTACAAAATAATCATTCTTATTATCGAGCACCTTTATTATCGGCGTCGAGTCCTTTGATTAAATTATTGATTCGTAAAAATTTAATTACTGATTTGGCGAAAGTAATACAATATCTTGATCTTTCATCACCTATGATGATAACGACTGTGAATTCATTATTGAAAACATTGGATTTTCTTTCGAAAACATTGAATACCCCACAGAATCCATTCACATCGCGTCATCATCATAATCATAATCAACAACAGCAAAGTGCACAAAGTCGCCATCAACGAAACTTGTTATCACATAGTTCATTTACAATACCAATGATTGATTTGGATTCAGCATCATCTATTGAACCCGATGGTTCACAAATTATCCATAATAATGATAATGACCCGATGCTAATGGAACAAGATCATTCCGAAAATCTAACAACAAATTCAACTACTACTACAACAACAACAAATAATAATCAGGACAGTAGTTCAGCATTGGCTTTAGCTCCCAATCAAATACTTAATGCTGATGGTTCAATTATAGAAACGGAAACAACAACATCGATAACACAATCGCCTAATACGAATGCTATTCATACGGAAAATATGGCACAAGCATCGACAATGTCAACAAATTCTCAAAATTTGGACGAAAATACTGAAAATGAATTATTTTTAGATAGTGTCGCTTACGATAATTATAATAATTCACATCCACGAAGCGGTACTTTTACATCGGACGAATTACGCACAGATGATGATGATTATGAAAATGATGGTCTCATAATCACTGATCAAGACGGTATGAATGATGGTGATCATGAAATGCATCATGATAGTCATGTTGTCGTTGGTAATAGCAACCATGTTGGTGTTGAATCAACTACCGCAAGTAGTGATGGCACAGAATCGGATGATGCCGATTCCGATGAACATGATGATGACGATGAAGATGATGTTGATATCGAAGATGATGATGATGACGAAGAAGAAGAACAAGATGATCAAGTTGGTAGTGCACAAGAAGATGGTGATGAAGATGATGATGATGAACATATGGATGATGACGATGATGACGACGAAGATGATGACGGTGATGATGATGAAGATGAAATGGATCGTATACGGCCTGAAGATTTATCTCTGCAACAAATGCTTGATGACCAATTTGGTCTTGGTACGTTGAATAATGATGTTATCTATAGTTTGGAAGAAGTATTGCCACAATTTTTGAATTATCCTCACCGTGTATCATCATCATCGGATTATCTATTGCCATTCTCATCACATCATCATCATCATCATCTTGTTGGTGATGGTGAAAATGTTATCATGAATGGCCATAGTAATGGTGGTCATTTTGTTCCAACATCATCTGTTGGCCGTCATACGAATGGTACGGGATCAAGCATGCAGATACATCACCCTTTATTGAATTATAATTCTGATCAAATGAATAATGGTGGTGGTGCTACATCTTCATCAGTAGCTGTTATAAGTAATGCTGGATCATCATCATTGGTGAATAATCTTGCCGGTTCATTGGTTAGTTTAGGTTCTCATGCTGTTAATCCAATATCGGCTTCCTTTTTATCAGCCAATAACACAGTAGCTGCTAATATTGGGATAGGTAGTGCTGGCGGTGGTGGTGGTGGACATCGATTATCACGTAATCCTTTACCACGTACACGTGCCATACGATCCTATTTTCATACTGGTCATAATTGGCATGTGGCACATTTCAATACCCGAACAAGTCCAACACATATACTACAACGATTGCTTGGATCGGCTTCACAACATGAATTCGCTATTCCAAGTGTTCGTAATCCTTTTTCTCGACATGATTTGGATCTTCGTGATGAAACCTTTGATTTTGTTCCACTATCATCAACGCCAAATTCATCAATTGTATCGAATTCATTCCAGAATAATCAATTGAACTCAATTCCATCCACAATACAACGTTGGCACGACGAAGCACGCTTATTAGATGGTGAATATATGTATGATGCATTGTTATTAATTAAACCGGAAATTATTCGTCATCTTGAAAAATTGAAAGAACAAGAATTACAGGAAAAGAAACGTAAGGAAAAAGAAGATATGGATGCTACAGCTGGTGATGCAAAAAATAAATCGGCTTCCAATACTGCTGAAAATAATTTGGATCGTGAAATACGACAAGCTATGCAACAACCACAACAACAACATGGATCTGGTCATCCATCACAATTTGAAGAATTACACGCTCATATAGAACAATTGACCAATTCTGTCATCAACCAGGTCTTGGAATCAACTCCGCAACAGCAATCTAATAGCTCAAATGAATTAACAAACGATTCTTCGAATAGTGATCGAATTTCCCGTATGGAAGTCGTCATATCGAATGATGATAATGACAATAATGACGAACAGCCACAACAACCACAAGTGGATGAAGTTGTTCCAATGTCAGTGGTTGTCAATGAAAATATTCCCTCTGGGTCAAGTGAAGATCCTATTCCGGTTAGTCTTGAAGATTTAGTTGTCGAAAGTGAAGCATCTGTAGCTCGATCTGAAGCGCAAAATGTTGATATCGAATTGATGGATCATCAATCATCAAACGTTACGAACCAACAACAATCTGACACTTCCGGTATTGCTGAAGGCAATCTGAATCAAGAACAACAATCGGGAACGGAAACATCGACCATCTCTCAACCATCTGCATCATCGTCCTATCAATTAACACCTGAAGAACGAGCTATTCTTGGTGATCAAGAATTACCCGAAGGGGTTGATCCATCATTTTTGGCTGCTTTACCTGAAAATATTCGTCAAGAAGTGATTGCCGAACAATTCCGCATACAACGATTGAATCAATTACGTAACAATCTACCACAACCGCCAGCAACAGCTGCTAATGAAAGTAATCAAGCTGTAACTGCTATCAATCAATCATCTAATACCACCAATGCTGCACCTGTTCCTGAAATTAGTGAAGATTTTCTTGCAGCTTTACCTCCAAACATTCAAGAAGAAGTGCTCGCACAACAACGTGCAGAGCAACAACGTTTGAATGCGCAGAATACAAATCCCGATACACCGGTTGATCCGGTCAGTTTTTTTCGATCATTACCACCCTCACTAAGGCGACAAGTTTTATCCGATCTGGATGATAGTCAAGTTCAACTGTTGCCACCAGAATTTGCCAATGAAGCACGAACACTCCGACGAGAATATGAACAACGAAATCGGCAGATTCATGATCGACTTTTCGATTCTAATTCGGCCATCTTACGAATCATACGATCAGCCGGTAAGTGAACTTTGGCTATTTCATTGTTTCAAATTTTTTAATAACCAAATTTTTTATTTAAGCTTCAGCTCCTAGAACAGCTGCTTTACGATACGATGGGTTGAGCATTCCAAGTTGGACACATGCACGCTTTTCGTTTAGAAATGGTGGAGGTTCTAGTTCACATGATAATAATCGTTATGGTTATGGCAGCAGCAGTGGTTTTGGCCGTCATACTCCGCGTGCATTTACTAGTCGTTCATTGAGAGGAAAATACCTACTAGATTACGATGCCCTTTCATCAATTTTGATCCTATTGTTCATTCATGATAGTCTTATCAGTTCGATTCGATTACATCGTGTAATCAAAAATCTTTGCTTACACAGTCCAACACGACAATGGGTCATTCAATCTTTGTTGGAAATTATGGAAAAGACAAAAGAATCAGTGGATTCATCATCATCTAACAATTCAATAGCATTAAGTGCTGATGATCAAACTTTGAAGTAAGTTTTTCTTTTTTTGACCTTTTCCTATCGTTAAATTCTTTAATTTATTATTATCTTAAGAGCATTGACGCAAAATCATTTTGTCTCTTGGCTTTCGATTACATTGGATTCATCGTTTGGTTCAAAAACGAACGTTTTCTTTCTGAGTAAATCGATAGGATCATCATCATCTAGTTCAATCAAAAAGAACGATAAAGTCAGCCAGATCTATACGATTTCAATCAATCCACAAGCTTCATTATTCGTCTGTCGTAATGTTTTGGACATTCTTATTTCTTTGGCCAAAACATTTCCCGAACAATTCATTTGCTATTCACCACCTTCATCAACACCATTGAATTCGACACAAGCATTACAGAAGAATTTTTCGGCAACTTCCCTGAATACATCAAGTTCAAGTATCAAAGATCAACAACATGAAAACATTGCAACGACATCGAATGGTAATCAGAAACCGCCACCAAGTTTTTTCGATGTTCTCATGCGTCACGATTTTATTCATGCAACAAAAAAGACGAAATCAAAGCAAGGTAAGTGATTTCATTCTAAGCTTTCTTTGCTTAAAATATCGAAATTCTAATATTTATCCAATTACTATATTTCTTTTTCTTTTAGCCTCATCATCAAATCTTCAAACTACATCTATCATGGAAATCGATTCTGTTTCGTCCACTAAACATTCATCACAATCACAGGTCGATTATTCACCATTTTCACAATTACTCAATCTATTATCACATCATTTCATTAAGAAAAGCCCTGTTTTAACTGATCGTTTAATTCGCCTAATGACACATATTACAACGGCATTAACACCGGATACTGATAATCGTAATCAAACGACACCGATCAATTTGTCTAATGAAATCAAAGAAAAATTGAATGAAATTGAAAAAACTATTGCTAATGAACGTCTGTTGAAATTGGTCGTCGATGTACTCGTGTCAAAGACATGTTCCGAAGATGGTCTTGTGGATGCTACATCATTATTGATCAAACTTTCAAATCTATTCTCCAATTGTCGAAATATATTCTACAAACTTTTACTAAATGGTGTTCGCCACTTAGGCCAGACTGTCTATGATGATATCAATGCATTGTCCATTGAAATGAGTGATTTGTTATCGAAATTGAATAGACAGCAAACTAGTAGCAATACTAGCACAACATCTGATAATGAATCACATGAGAAGAATATCAAAGGTCAGACTAATGTACAAGATCGTTATTCAAACATGACCATCATCATAAATGCTCAATCAAATGCTAAACATAATATCATTTCGGGTAAAGAAGTACAATTGCCATCAATGTCAAATCTCATATCCAAATCATCAAGTCAATTCTTATTTCTACGAATTCTTAAAATTATAATGCATATACGAGAAATTAATGCTAAAAATCAAAATTCTAAACAACAGCAACCGCAACAGGATGTTACACCATCTTCGGCCGACCCGTCCAATGATAATCAGACAACAACATCTACAGCTGAAACAAAAATGGAAGTAGATCTTGAACAGGATAAACTTAGCACCGAATTACAGTTGGATCATTTATGGGAAAAACTGAGCGATTGTCTTAGTCTTCTATCGGAAGCTCCGGATGATCATGTTGTACTCGTTTTACAACCAGCTGTCGAATCATTCTTTTTAGTACATGCTCCGGAAAAATCTCGTACAACTGCTGCAAGTTCCGGTAGTGAAAATCAACGTTCTGTTGAACCGGTTTCACAACAATTATCTCATCTACATCAAACATCTGATGCATTGAATGCGGATGCTCAATATGATGAAAATCGGCAATACAGTTCATTACCGGCAGACACACAAAAATTTTTAATATTTGCCGAAAAACATCGTGTCGTTTTGAACCAAATTCTTCGACAATCAAATATCCATCTTGCTAATGGTCCATTTGCTGTTCTTGTTGACCATACTCGAATATTAGACTTTGATGTCAAACGACGATATTTCCGCCAAGAGTTAGATCGTTTAGATCAAGGTACACGTCGTGATGATCTACCCGTCCATATTCGTCGTGAACATGTATTTGAAGATTCTTACCGTGAATTGAATCGTCGTACATCTTCGGATTGGAAGAATCGTTTCTATATCGTATTCGAAGGTGAAGAAGGACAAGATGCTGGTGGTTTGCTACGTGAATGGTATACGATTATTTCACGAGAAATTTTCAATCCCAATTATGCTCTTTTTACCACATCACCTGGTGATCGTGTCACCTATATGATCAATTCAGCATCACATTGTAATTCAAATCATTTGAGTTATTTCAAATTTGTTGGCCGTGTCATTTCTAAAGCCATCCATGATAACAAACTGTTGGACTGCTATTTTACTCGTTCATTTTATAAACACATTCTTGGCAAATTGGTAAAATATACAGATATGGAAAGCGAAGATTATTCTTTCTATCAAGGCCTTGTGTTCCTGCTCGAACATAACGTCAATGAACTTGGCACAGAATTGACGTTTTCATTGGAAATTCAGGAATTTGGTGTAACCGAAGTTCGTGATTTGGTACCAAATGGTCGCAATATAATTGTTACGGAAGAGAATAAACATGAATATGTCAAATTAGTTTGTCAAGAAAAGATGACCGGTTCGATAAAGAAACAGTTGAATTCTTTTCTCGAAGGATTCTACGAAATCATACCAAAACGATTGATATCCATTTTTAATGAACATGAACTTGAGTTATTGATTTCTGGTCTGCCAAACATTGACATTGATGATCTCAAAGCAAACACTGATTATCATAAATATCAGGCAACATCATTGCAAATTCAATGGTTTTGGCGTGCACTCCGTACATTTGATCAGGCTGATCGGGCTAAATTTTTACAATTTGTTACCGGCACATCGAAGGTTCCATTGCAAGGATTCACTGCACTGGAAGGTATGAATGGACCACAAAAGTTTCAGATCCATTTAGATGATCGATCAACGGACCGTTTACCATCGGCCCATACATGGTAAGTGTTTTTTTAGTTTTTAATAAATTTAACTAATCCATTTTTTTATTGTTCAAACTTTAGTTTCAATCAATTGGATCTACCTGCCTATGAAACTTATGATAAATTACGTATGATGCTGCTAAAAGCAATCCACGAATGTTCGGAAGGTTTTGGATTTGCTTGAAAAAACCATAAACAACATTGATTTGATCTAATAGATTCATCTTGTCTGTGATTATATTTACAAAACAAAGCAAAAAATTCTTTTTTGTTGGTTCACAATTACCCAAAAATCATTTTAAAAATAGAATTTTAAACAAAACATCCTTGTGTCGTTCATTTTTTGTCTGTCTGTCTGTGTCCCTGTCTGTAATCTCATTTAAACATTTCAAATCATTATTATACACATGAAGAAATTCAAAAAATTCTTTATTAAATTTTCCAATAACACATACACAACGCTATTCATGTTTTCATTTGATTTCCATTTTGATTACAATTTCAATTAAAAATTATAATAAACTATTTTTCTGACATTTGTTTTGTTTTTTTATTGCGATTGCAAGCCTTTAACCCCCCCTTTGCGATAGGTAATTTTTTTTACAACGGATATCCAATCATAATGGTCATAAGAAAGGTTTTTTGAAAATGAAAAAATTCAATGACTTTTGAATTATGAGTGGAAAGAATATTGGAAATAATTTTCTTTTTTTTAAATATAATAATAATAATAATAATATAATTAAAATTTTGATAATAATAATAATGATAATGTTATCCATACAAATTCAAATTTAAATTCATAATTTTCGTTGATTTGTTTTTCGCAATCAAATTTTGTTTGTTTGTTTGTTTGTTCCTAAATGGGAATGGGAGTGCCGGAATCGGCTGCTTTTTTGTGTCTATGTAGGTTTGTATGATAAGCAACCAGTCTCTGTGTGTATGTTTTATTGAAAGAAAGAATAAGAGAATGTGAGAGAGGGAGAGAAAGAGACGAGATCATCATCAGAATTCATTGTTGTGGATGTGTGTGTATGTGTATTTTGAAACCAAATAATTTATTATATGATATCGAATAAAATTTAAAAAAATCATTACATGACAAATTAGAATAAATAAATTGAATTAAAAAAAATCGATAATAATACTGATCAAATTGAATAAAGATGACCAAACGAAAACAAAAAAAAAACAAAATAAATAATTATTATAGCAGCCACAGAAACAGTAGCCAACAAAAAAAATCAAAAAATAGATGATGACGATGATGATGATATTGATGATGAGAACAAAGAAACAAATGAGGTATATTCAAATAGGAAAATGAAAATTAAAAAAAAATTCTATAGATGCATTTCTGTTGATTGTTTTTTTGGTTTGCCATCGGTTCGCTGTGCATAATAAGGTGGTGGTGAATGATAATCATGATGGTTCATTGTTCTGTGCTCTTTTTTTTATTAGTGCACTAATTTTAAAAAATTTAATTGTTTCCGTTTGAATTATTTCATTATTGATATTTATTCCTTCTGTTTGAATGGATAATAAAATTGATTGATTTATAAATTTTTTTATGGAATGAAAAAGAAAAAACAGATATACATACCATTGTTGGATAGAAGAAAATCTCATCAATTGAATCCGAACCAAATTCATTGGATGCCATACATTGATAAACGCCCATATCATCAAAAGTAGAATTGTGGATAAATAGATCTCCATTAGGTAATATTTGATATTTGTCATTTATAGATGATGTTATTTGTCCATTGACAAACCAATTGATTCGAGGTTTTGGAAAACCGGTAGCACGACAATGAATAATGACATTATTGCCCATATTTTCCATGAGCGTTTGTGTCCAGAAATATATTTTTGCAGGTGAATCTGTATAAAAAAAATTGTAAGATTATTTAATCGTTAGATTTAAGAAACAAATTCAATCAATTAATTAATGAACTCACTTAGAGATTTTTTCTCCAAACATGAAACGGCAGAAGCAAGACCATTACCACTTGGTGATTGATTATTGATTATTTTATGATAATTTGCTGACGGAGATGATGCAATGGGAATTAATGAATTTTCAATCAAAGAATTGCCAAACAATTCCATTTCCTTTTCATTGCCACCTTTATACCTTGGATTTAATGATGGTGATGATGATCGACGTGGAACAATGATTACTTTTGTATTCGAACGTTTCTGTTCAAATGGTGTGACTGCAACACACGTATAGATAGTGCCCAAATCTGTTTCTGGATTCAAACATTCGAGAAATAAACGAGATTTAACTCGTGATAAGCCAAGATGGTCTGACGATGATGGCCGTATACTACTGCTTAACATAAGCATTGAAAGTGATACAACATCATTGCTACTTTCATCCAAATCGACCAAATTCTTTTGTAATTGTTGCTGCTGTTGTGGATGAACTAATTTTCCATTACGAAGCCAATAGATTATTGGATTAGGTGTGCCGGCAACATCACATTCAAGTACATATCGTTCATCTTGTTCAATAACAACCTGTTCTGGTAACATACTTTCAAAATGTAGATATGGTCGTACATCATCTTCACCATTATCATTGATATTGGCTGTATTTTCATCTCGTTTTTTGGTTGTTTGCTATATTGATCAAGCAAAGAAAAAAGGATTGATAGAAAATCAAATTGATCACTTCTAGCAAAAAAAAATAAAGAAAATTACCCGAACAAAACGATGTAATGGAATCGATTCGGTAATAGTTTCGCTACTACTGCTACTATTACTATTATCGTATGTTGCCGTTGTCGTTAATGTTGATTCAACAATTGGTAATGAATGAACAACCGATATCGGTGTGAATGTCATCACCATCATCATCAACATGATTGTTGACAACATTATTAAGCTTTTTGTTGATGATGAGGATGTTTTTCTGGGCATTATGGATAACAATTTCGATGGTGATGATAATGACAATGATGACAATGGTGATGACAATTTGGATTGTAATCGATGTTGTGATGATGACATCTTTGTTGATGATTTTGATTGTCGACTATGTTGATGTTGATTATTATGATTATGATGCTTTTGATGATAATAATTCGATAATGTCAATGATGATTGTTTAGACGACTGAATGAATGATATTCTCATTTTTATTTCGGATGATTTGTTGTTGTTTCTTTTTTTTTTGTTCTTCTTCAACAAAACAATGTCGATAATCGTCGGAAAAAATCTATATGGTAGGGAATACGAAAAAAACCGTATGAATTAGTCATCGCAAAAATTCAAAATGGAAATTTTTTTGAAGAAAAAGAAATCCCATGATTGAATCCCTTTCTCTTTTAATAAAGAAAGAAAAATGGGGGGACCAATTTCATGTGATCGATCTATCGTTCATTGATCGATTATTGTTATATTTGATGTGAATGTGTGTGTGTGCGATGCGATCATTGCAATGAGATAATGCAATGTGATTATTATTATTATTTTAACTTTTCCAAGAATTTAATCAGAGATATCAAAAATAAAACACAATCAAAATCCATACACAGACAATGTGAAATGAAAATTTCGAAATTTTTTTTTTTGATTTGATTAATAATGATAATTGTCGGGGTGAATAAGATGAGGAGCAGGAGAAAGAGGGAAACATTTTTTGAATCTAAGAGAAATTTTTTTTAATCTTTCATCAATAATCAACCACTTTAAAGTATTCAAAAATAATGTTAACAATAATTAATATCAATGAACATCCTGGAACATGATGGACGAATGTGTTCGATAGATACTATCTATAGAATACTATCGATAGTGATGAGGATCAAAATTATATTAAACTGGATAAAAATCAAATAACGAATTGTTTTTATTACAACACTTACCGTTTTGAAAAATCAAATTGTTGTTGATCTGAATAAATTACATGAACAAACAAACAAACAAACAAAAAAAATGAACTAAATTAAATTAAATTGGGAATCAATCAAATTTTTTTTCTGATTAATTTCAAGTAAATTTGATTAATTCAATTGATTCAGATAAATAATTGAGAAAAAAATTTATCTTAAAATTTTCTTCAAAATAAATCGTTTGAAATAAAAAAAAAATTAGGATGACGTGATTTGGAGGTGTCGGCCTATACAATCTTTCTATTATATGATGAAAAAAATTGAAATTGAAAAAATTGTGGAAAAAAAATTCAAAAAAGGAAGGAAACAGTGTAAAACATCAACAACAACTTGGTTTTCCGACAAAGTTATATTTTGTTGTTGGTATAATGATGGTGAAGAAAAAATTCTGTTTTTCTTAATTTTTTTTTAAATTTAATTTTTTTTTACAATTTTAAATGAAGAATTTAATAATGGATATGATGATTGCACGATACACGCACACACACATTGGAGCACATGTGGAATAATTCTCGACATTCATTCGACGACAACGACGGGCTTGCCTTTATATATCCATCAAAATGAATGATGAGAAAGTAGAAAACCCGAACACCTCTCTCTTTTTCTATAGTAATACTAAGCACACACACTACTAGAGAACGACAACGACAAACACCACGTATTGCGGCTGCCGAAATAAACAAATAGAAAAAATAATAATAATAAAAAAATAAAAAGGAAGAACATCATCATCCTTAACCAGTAATAAAGAAGACAACTACGACAACGAAGACGAAAGAAAAACCAAATAATCAAGCCAGCAACATCATTATCATCACGACGCAATATTGTGGTAAATACACACGCACACACACACACATTTATTCAAAAACCAGCATTGAATTGTACATTGTGGCTTTCATTTTTATTCATTCATTTCTTTCTTCTTTTTTTTTGACTTGTCGGTTTCAACCGTTTGTCTTCTTCATTTTTCCTCGATATTTTTTTTTATTTTTTTTTGCTGGTTGTTGCTGGTTTTAAAGATATGATCATTCTCTTTACACACATACACCACTTGTTTGCACAGATCCTCCTCCCCTTCGCCCGTTGGATTTCTACTACAATTTGATGGTAACCAGAAAAAAGTTTTCTTTTTCTTTCATCATTTTAATTTTGAGGTTCAATAATCAACGTAATGTTTTCTTTCTTTTTTTTTGGTTTGTGCTTGCGTGTGATCCAGAATACATAGATTTTTTATATTGAAAAAGATTTCTCAATTTCTTCGCCGGATGTAATAAAAAAAAAATATGGTTACATAGAATCCAAAAATAGTATTACGGTCATTTTTTGTTTTATGGAAAAATTCAATTGTCAAAATTTTTTTTTATTTTTTTATGAGAAGGAATAAATAGGTGAAATGAATTCGTCTTTTAAATGCTTACCGTACACATTTGGTCATTATTCATGTTTTATTTTGTATTAAAAAGAAACGAAAGGCCATGACATTATCCCCCATGAATGATTGAATGATCAAATATTTTATTTTTATAAAAATTAAAATTCGTACTCGATTTGTACTTGAAATGCCAAAATATTACTATTTTTTGTTTTTAAAAAGTCATTGGATGCCATCAATGATCGATGATGGAATGAATAAATGAATGATGAAAAAAAAAAACGAAAGATTTCCTTAAAAAAGAAAGAGAAATACTTTCAACTAGGTCGTCATCACTAGTCACCAACTTCTTTATGGTGATTGATTTATTTATTCGATTGAATAAATGGACAGACAACATTGATGATGTTAATGATAATGATGACGACATGATTGCCGACATGTGTGTGTGTGTGTGTGTGAGTGCAACTAAAATGAATGAATGAATGAATAAATCTCTCAATGTCGACGATCTCTTTATCATTATTAGTTAGTTATTTAGTGCTTCTAAAATATTCTCCAATTTCCTTAAAGAAATTACAAATTTCTTTTTTTGTTTTTGTTGGAATTTACACGATTTACGTGACTCATATGGCGTCACAACAAAACATTATCACCAATTGGTGTATGAACACAAACTGGATTTTGTCGTTGTTTTGGTTGTAAAATAAAAAAAATTGAAATAACTATCTTAATCTCAAAAAAAAAAAAAAATTGAAATCGAAGGTTCTCTACCACCGTCATCACCCCCACATCTGGATTTTTGATTTCACCAATTTATCATTATTAAGATGAAACTGAAAACCAAATATCAGGCCATAATGTCACATAAATATGGGAAAAATTTTCAAATGAATTTTGTTTTTCACATTTCATTTATCGTACATTCGGATTTCCAATATATTTTCAAATTGTCTATTGATCAATCAATCGATGGATTATCATCAATTCGTATCCGGACTACTAATGGAAATGGATTTATCCGATTAGCCAATATATTTGATTATAGCTAACCTCTATTTTGTGAATAATCATAATAATAAGCAAAGATTTAGGATTCGTATTTTTTTCCAAGTACAAAAAAAAGAACACTATTTTTCCATGAAAAAAAAGAAAATTTTTCTTTCGAAACATTGTAAGTTGTTCTTTCTTTTTTTTCTAGTTATGGTTTTAACATTTGTTCATTCTTGATTCTATTTTGTTTTTGTCTAAATATTCATTGGAATTGTTTGCTTCAAATGTATTTTTTTGTTTTATTTTCGATAGAATTATTTTGTTTTTTTTCTCATTATAATTTGTTCAAATTAAAATAGAAATATTCAAATGGATGAAAAAGAATTAATGAATCTTATTCTCAAGTGAATTTTTTTTTGAAACGGAAATTGTTACCGATTCATTTTAACAACAAAATAACAACAAGGTCAGGGTTATTTTGAATGTAGTATTTTTTTTTACGCAAATTCTTTTATCAAATGAAAAAACTGTAAAGGGAATTGAAAATGGTATTCAATCATCATCATCATCATTATTTTTATAATGATAATTGGAATTTCGTAACTTTTTTTTTGTGCGTGTGTGTGTGTGTGTGTGTGTTTCAAATCAAAAATTCAATTTGATGATACATTCAATGTTGACAATTGTAACCTTAAAGCAAAAATTGATTCAATTCAATTTGATTTTGGCCAATTTTAGATGATTTTTTTTCTTTTTTTTCTTTTTCGATTAACGGCATAATTTGCAATAAAATCTTGACAAACACACTCACCAATAACCAGATTTAACCAGTGAAAAAAAAATTTCTTGATTTTTTTTATTTTATTTTACCAATTTCTATTTTTTGCCATCACTTGTATGTCATTCGTACATTGACGAAATTCTTCAAAACGATGCCTGAGAGAGTGAGAGAGATGATCATCAAAAACTACCATCCCCTATAACTAAGCCATCCTCTCATCTACCCATCAATAAAATGTACAATAATCGTTTTTTTCTCTTCGTTTGTATTGTAGTATTTTAATCTCACATCAAAAAAACCGTAGACTTTGCCTTTGGTCTATAATTTATATTCGTCTTAAAAACAATTATTTATTTTCTTTGTAAATACGAAGAAAATGACGAAATATAAAAATTTAACCACTAACAATGCCATTGTAATTAAGTGAGTATTATTTCATTTTTCGTTTTTCGATTCATGAAAATTCATTAAAAAAAATTCATTACAGAAAATGTAGCTATAGGCCAGAATATTCGTTTTGTTTGTGGGAGTGATGAAGTCGCAATGAAAATAAAAGCGTTTTAATTTTTGTTTTTTTTTCTCTTCTCTCATAACACCATCGCCAACAGCAACAGTGAAAACAGAAACCGGAATAATCCAGTGTTTGACAATTGAACTTTCAGCATTGTCTCTCTCATCATCATCGTTGATTTTGTTGTTTAACAATTGGGCGTTGTTATCTATTCATTCATCTAGGTCAGTCAGTCAATCTATTAGTGTGGGTGGATTGTGGAACAATGAATGGTGTTAAAATTAAAACCAGTTTTTTGCCCACAGGTTTCTTTGGTTTCTTCTTCACTATCTGCCCAAAATCAAAATGAAAATGAAAATGAAAACCAGTTGCAACTAAAACATTGCTTACACGAGTTACAAGAATATTGCATAAACTTGATTCGTTTTTAATTTCGAATTTGTTGTTGTTAATTTCAAATTAATTATATATTGGTTATTCAGTAAAACAAAAAAAAATGGAAAGAATCGATTCAACGTTCTCTTTTTAAATATTTCCGGATACTTTCATTCAATCAATCAAAAAAAAATTAAAAATGATGATGTTGATAGTTATTACCATGGCAACATCCATGGAGTTTTCTGGCCGATCTAATGGATATGATAACACATTTCTGTGTTTAAAATTGTCAAGAAAAAAAAACAATTTCTGGACTGTAGCCATTAAACAATCATTAAACATCGACAACCACAACCGGTGAATGCCAGTTTTCATCAATTCATTTTCATCGTCATCATCATCATCATCTGATGTAATTCATCGTTGTTGTTGAGTGTGCTTACGTAAACCTATTCGCTTCACATCTAATATTCATTAATTTCTTCAATTTTTTATTCTTTCATACCTGTGTGTGTGTGTGTGTGTGAATTTTTCTTCTTTTTTTGTAACCACAATTTCGACTGAATCAACATGAAAAATGACCGAAGAAGATGATGATGATGTAAGCTTTTTTCACACATTTAAAAAACGAAATTTGATTGATGAACTCGTTAATTGTGATAGATGACTGGAAAAAACCGGAAATTTTTTTTTTTTTTGGTTATTCATTGAATTATATGGAAAAAAATTCAAATTTTTCTACAGAATTTTGAATGACGAACAAATTGGCCTGAAAAGACAAGAAAAAAACAAATCAGAGCATCGAACTTTTTTTTTGTTCTCAATTAAGAAGTGAAAAAAATTAGGTGGTTACTTCCTACCTACCTACCCATCTAAAATCCTGACCCAGTTATTATTTTTGTTATTCCTGATTTTAAATCCATTGGTTTCTTACTAGTTGCTCTATTTTCAAAAGTATTTAAGTAAAAGTAATAATGATATTTATGAATGCGACAAATAATAATAATGATGTTAGTTAATATTGGTAGTTGTCGACTTGATGCAATTTAATTTTTTCACTGTATAAATATCGATTGATTTTTTTTTTGATCGATACGAAAATCGTCATTTTTTACATATACACATCAAATGTATGTTTATTTGTTTGTGACGAAATAGCTAAAATGTTTTAATTTATTATTTTTTTTTTTGAAAATGTAAATCAGCGATAAAAATTTTGTGGAAAAAACGACAATTCTTAATCTAATCTTATAATTATATAAAATCGATGATAATGATGATGAATAAAAAAAAATTAAGGTTAAACACATGGAAATTGGATTCCAACAATGACAAAAATAAAATAAATGTCAAATCAAGTCAGTCAAGACCTTCTACATTATTCATAAAAACGTGATCTAAATAACGTATTACATTGTTTATTGTATGTTTATTCATAATCATTCAATGATGATCATCATTCTTGTAAGCCAAAAATTTTTTTTTAATTGAATTTCATATTAAATAATGGCCATGGACAATCATCATTATCTTCATAATAATAATCTGTTTTACAACGATGTGTCGTCGACATCGATCAATCAAAACTGGATGATCGAAAATTTCCATAAAACATTCTCTCAATTGATATATTTATTGTATACATACACTTGTAATGATTTGAAATGAAATCAAATGTGAAATTTATGTTGTGAAAAATGAATGAATGTAAAGTAAATAAACAATCGAAATTGAAACAAGATCAATAATCAATATAAAAAAAAATCAAATTGATCAAATAAATGAATGACCGGATTGTCATAACCATAATCACTTATGATCACACACACACACACTCATGAGATTCACTCGTGATAATTGATTGTATTGATTATGTTTGATCAATAATAATATTGATTGATGTACAATTGTCGAACGAAACAATGTTTATCTCCTCACATGTATATATAATGACTACAAAATAGAAAAAAAATTTTAACTGAAATAAAAAAAATATCGAACACATTTCATCGATGAGCATACACATACACATACCCATAGAGGAAGTTCTGGTAAATATGAATTATTTCAAATTTCTGAATAGCCAGTTTGATGGCTATTTGAATAATGGTAATGGTAATAACACTGATAATGACCGATGTTAAATGAATGATGATGGCCTAACAAATTTTTCTATCATTCTTTTTTCTGTCTATTCGGTTTAGAATTGTACCGGATATCGGATAATTACTTTTTTGGATGGGAGAGACACGTCATCAGTGAATAGTAAACATTTCGAATGTTTCTAAACATCTAAACACGAATACAAGCCCACGGTTTTATCCCTGACATTGACAAATAACCTTTTCAAAATAAACTTTGAATAATAATAATTTATATATTTCAACATTATCATTTTTTTCATTCATCACCATATCCGGTCATACAATGTGTCTGTGTTTTATTTTCAAGGTTAAATGTTTTCCCTGTCTTCCTTCCTTTCTTTGGGTGATTCCGGTTAATTTAATTTTTCCTTTTATGTGTAATAATAGTAAATAATAACAACGAATTTTTCCACAAATACTCAATGTATGATTATAATAATAATAATAATCGAATAATCCAAAAAGTTTGATGAAAAAAAGCTTCATTTATTAGCCGCTTACTATCAAAAACGTAATATCATGACAGTAAATTAGTAATGACCGGTAACAAGAATTAAATCCACTGGTTCAGGATACAATAATAATATTATTAATTCAGATTGATTTCTGAAATCAGCGATGTTTGTTTCGTTTATTTAATTCCTTTTGTTATTTCATTTTTTTTGTTTGTCGATCACATATCACATTGGTTGTTCACACTAGCAACCCCTTTGCATTGATTTTTTTTTGTTGTTTGTGATAAAGGAAATGTATGAAGACATCGAAAAGAAAAATTGAAAAAAAAATTTCGTCGCCTCTTTCTTTTTTGGGTATTCTATGTTGGTGTGTAGGTTTTTGTTTTACATTTCAAAGAATTTTTCAGTTACCAACCAAGTAGTGTGGAAACCAAGTTAGATTTATTGAAATAAACGAAAAGAACAAAACACAAAAAAATTATTCATATAACATCCACCCACGCACACATATGACAATTCACAATCTGAAGGAAAAAAAGAATTTTTTGGTAGCTGGAAAATCCTTTTCATTCATCAATCCATAGATCCTCTTTGAATATACATATAAATGTTCATTTTTTTTCTTCACCCTAAGCGGGTATGTGTGTATTTAATAAGTATTATTTATAAAATCTAATAATAATAATAATAATAAACCCAGCCATCTGATTATCGTGAAAATAAACGGATTTTAATTAAATCATTATCATCATCGTCATCGTCATTATTACTGATCAGTTAAACATTCATTCATTTATTTAGCTCCTGTGGTGTGATCGACATCATTGGATACAATCGATATGACGAATATAAATATAAAAAGCAAAAAAAAGTAATTATCATTGTACGAAACCACCCACGCAACATAGATACAATTTTACTTTTTTTTATGATGAGCCATTTTGCAACCAGCCAGGCAGGAAATTCAATCCAAAAATAAATTCAACTATATCCTCCAGATATTTATTGAATATTCCCACAATTGAAATGATGATATAAATGACAAACAAACAAATATTGAATGAATAGAAAAAAAAATCAATTTCCGCATTTAGAATATTCTAATCTTTTTTTCTGGTGTCTATCTATATCTGACGAGATGATAATTCAAACGATATGAATGGAATATAATTTAAACTTTGGCCACGTTGTCTTATTTTGAATTCATTTGATTTTCGTTTCACAGTTGGTTCGCGTGTGTGTGTGTGTGTGTGTGTTTGTGTACATAAAGGGCGGTATTATCTTTGATGATAATTCTTTAACGATGTTAAAAAAGGTGTTTCTTTATCTTAAATTCAATTATAATATAGCCAATACAATGTTTGCGTGTGTGTGTGTGTATGTGTTTGTCATGTTGGTATTGGATGAATCTAATCGGTCATCATTTGATCGAACCGATTTGATCCGTTTTCTTTTCCCGATAATGAAACTGGGAAAAGAAACAAAAATTAATACGTAATAATTTTAAACAAACATATTCGCTTTGAACATTTTGCAAAAAAATTAAACAATTTATTTTCTCGAAAATTCTCAATTTCAACAATTTTTATTTGAAGAAAAAAATTAAATGTCTTGACGTGTATTCTTTATTTATTCACGGTCCGTCATTCGTCATGTTTCAAACATATAGCGGGTTGTTGCCATTTTTTTTTCTTTTTCTTTGTTTTTTTATATAGAAATAACTAGAAAAAAATTAAACAACTACATACAAACATTCATTCATCAATAAAGGTTGACAATGAGAGGGAAAAAATGACAAAAAAAAACAGAACAGAAAAAACAGCTACAAAATGGAATAATTCAAATAAAAAAATGAAGAATCAAACAATATGTATGTATAAATGAATTTTTTTGATCGATTGATCGAGTGTCTGAATGGGTGTTTGGGCGATACTTGTAGATGGAAAATAAAAAAAATCTGGTGCAAAAATTATGACGGCTATGATGATATCGATTATCTACTACATAATAGAACAAGTTCACGGGCAATCTGTAAATCACGATAATGATAAGATAATTCTAATTTCATTTCACCATCGGTTAGATTAACCGGCAGAAAATCATGTGTCATCGATGGATGGCTATGATGATGACTTGTATTTTGTGGATGTGATGATGACGAACAAGATGAATTTCCCGTATTTACTGTTGTATTAGTCGTTGACAGTAATAATCGTGCTAAAGGTGGCTGTGATGGTGATTGATCATTGGATAATTGTTTTTGTGATTGAGAAAGATCACCAGCGCCACTGGAACCAGAACCATTTAATGATTTCAACATTAAACCATGATCGTTATCAGAATTATTGATGGCATCTGATGAATTCAATGCCGACAATGTAGGCTGATTTTGAATGGATGAATCATTCGATTCAGCACAAACACCAGCAGAATTACTATTAGACATTCCAAATAAATTAGATGATTTAATTGGTGTCGTCATTTGTGGCGGAGGTGGAAGTAAACTAGGCATTACAACATCAGAAGAGATGCCAAAATTTTCCGGCGATGTGGCAGATAATGTTGAACTTGATGTATGGATGGCATACGAATCTTTTTGTTCGACATCTTTTTCAATTTTTTCCAATTTCTGTTGGATTAGATCCATGTTCGATAATAATTGACGTTGTTGCTGTTCAATTTCGACTATTTCATCATTATTAAATTTTTTTCTATATAGTTAAAAAAATTAAATAAAATGAAAAGATATTCGAATGGTTAATCTAGATTTACCGTTGTTGCTGAATTTTATAATTCAATGCATGAAGATTGATCATACAATCATACAGGGCCGATGATAATTGATTCGTTGCACGAAGATGTTGTAGATCTTCTTCATCGTCATTATCTTCCAGATCTGAATCCATTGGCCTATGATGGTGATGAAGAACAATACCCATTTCCGAACCGAAAAATTCATTGTCCATCATTTCGGATTTTTTTATTCCTGTGGATATCAAATGACCTGTAGGTGAGGAATCATTTGTTAAATTATGTGTGATTGACGTCGTCGTAGATTGTAATGTAAGATCATGTAATGTGAATGATTTTCGTTGTGATAATTCTGGTTTATCAAATTTGAATAATCAAGAGTAAAAAGGGTATTCGGTCGGAAAAAAATCAAAATAACTAAAATTCCTGATTTGTTCTCTCGAAGATATCATTACAAACCTTGATTTAATGATTCATGTTTCCGTTGTTGTTGGCCATTTATATAATTCATCATTGGATTCATAAATTTATTAACAGAATCATTTCTAATCCCAATTGTACCATCGATAGGTACAAACATAGCTGGTGTGAATTGTGGTGGCTGTCCATTCTTAAGCCAATGATTTAGCTGATAGGAATTTTGTTGTGTCCGTACACTTTTCGGTGCTTGTCGACAAAATTGACAAAACTATTCGCAAAGGATGAAAAAAAAAAATAAATTTTCAATCCAAAAGAAAAATATTTGAAACAACTTACATAACCGCTGGGCGGAACATCATTTTCACTGTGAAAACCGGCACATGATCCATGCTGCCACGCAAGACATAGCTATGGAAAAAAGAAAAATTTTTTAACTGTTCAAAGATTGCATATATTAAAATGTGCTTACCTCACATTGGACCATAAGACCACTTTCTTCATCCAGTGGACAGATACATTTGACAAATTCTTCAATATTATCATTTTCATGTTCCTCAGCTTCAAGTCGTGCATCTTTAAATAGCAATGTTGTATTCGGTTTTGTTGATCTTCGTGATGACCATGCTGGTAGGATTACGGTCAATGATTTCATTGATGATTTCGAGGATGTTTGACCAGTTTTCGGTGAATCCACTGATTCTGAATCATGATCTTGTTCTTGTTTGATTTTTTTACTAACATTTATAGAATCACTTGATTGTGGTGATGGTGTTGATTCATTTTTACGTTTTCCTCGATCTACCAACTCGTTGGTTGTGTTTATGGCTGCTGTCCCATCTTCTGCCACATCTGTTTCAGTTTTAATTTTAGACATTTTAACATCATCACCAGAATCATGTGATTTTTGTTTTTCATGACGATTTGTTTTGTGTATCCGTAGCTGTGGTGGAACCAATGATGGTACATCATCCAATTCGGTCTTATGAAAATGTTTTTTATGTTGAAGTAAAAGACTTTCCTTTCGAAAACCTTTCTGACATATATCGCAAACAAATGAATTATTTTTCTGCATCGATTCCGGTGTTTCAAGATTTAATGGTATCGTTGGAGATGTTGGAAAAGCTGGTTTTAACGGTTGAATAGGTGGTGGAACCTGTTCACCATCATAATCATCAGGCATTTTTTGTAATGAACTAACTTTAACTTTTTTACGATATCCATCATAGAATAACACCTGACAATATTGTCCTTTACTATAGAATGTTGTTATTCGTGCCGGATAGAATTTCTGATCTGTCCAACGGGCTAAAATTTCTTCATTCACTTCGAATTTCAACGCTTTTTGTACCATTTGACGATTTGGATCATTTGGATCACTACGTGGACGAATCAAATCCGTATCCATAGGAAACCATTGATCATACCGTTTTCTATATAAAGTATATATTACAATCAAATAAATAGATGAATTTGATAAACAAAATTTTTTTTTTCAATAAGGAAATTCAAATAATAAGGAAAATAAACACATTCGAATCAAATGCCTGCCTGTTTGTCTATATAGCTTATTATTTTTGTATGAAATGGACGAATACATCGATTATTACGACATACACACATGCATGCGAAAGATGCGGCATTGCATGCTACAGGATATCTACACGCACCAAATAATGATACCGGACATTTTTGTTATTCATTGTCATTATTGTGTGTATTTTAGCATTAAAAGAAAAGATTACTTACTTCCAACGTAAAAAATGTATCTTTATTTTATCATTTTTAATTTCAACAATCTTAGCAGGATACCAATTTCCTTGAATGTCACATGCTTCTAATGGTTCGGTCAATGACCAACGGCAATTCTGTTGTAATTGTTCAGGAATGGCCGTTTCGTCCTTGAAATCGTCATCACAATCTTTTGAGATATTACTGTCAGATTTGATCATTGATTTTGATATCGATACATTATCGACGGTTGATGATTTTCTAGTTGTCGTTGATGATGACGATTGTTGTTGCTGATAAAATGGATTTGATGTCGACCGACGTTGACGACGTAAGGCCAATGTCGAATCGATATTGGGATTATCTGTAGTCGATGATGAAGAATCAGCCATTTTCATTTGATTACATAATTTTAATCCTAAACAGATTGAATCAAATTTGAAAAAAATTAAATGTCAATCGACATGATGCAATAGCACACTGGCATACATTTCATTCATGATGATGACATGATGACAAAAACTAACAAGAAAAAAAACAGGATCGATTGAAATGATTTGGTGTGCTGTGAAGAAACTTGGCGCAAACTCTTAACCTGCAGGTATATATTGATATAAAGAATTTGGGTTTGAAACAAAAAAAAAATTCAAATGGTTGAACAACAAAGATCCACACAGAGCATGGTTACTCAAACACACACACACACACACACACACACAATAAATGAATATACAAGAGACTATTGTATAATACTATACCAGAATCCATTCATAGACATAAGGACAGAAAATTTTTACTTTTTTTAAAATTGTTTCGTTAATATATAAAAACAACAACCACAGATTATTATTTTTCAATGTTTAACAAATTAAGAATTATAATAATAATTAAGTAATAAAATAAGCACGTGCGTGTATATTCGGGATATAAGTCTGGTGAAGGCGAATAAACAAAGAAAAAAAAGTTTTGGCCAAAAGAAAAATCATTATTGTTTCTTTTCATTATTATTGAATATCACTAGACATATCAATATCTCTTTCAATTTGAAATGGTTCTGATATTCCAATAACATCACCATTGTGTCGAACATAAACCAATAAGTAACGTCCAGCTAAAATGGGTATGCTTTCATCGAAATAGACGGGAAATACTTCATCCGTATGATTGGCTGACTCTGGTTCTGCATCTGTATCCGCAGTTAAGCTCGAAGTTTCTTTGTCGGAATCTCTATTCAATTGTTGATCACCTTGTTGTGAAACAGGATCAGAATCTCTGGTTTCATCGTGATTATCATCGTCAATATTTAACATGGACAAAGCATCGGCTGCTTGTTCCGTTGGTAAAGCATTTCCGAATTTTGGATAAGAAAACGTTAAGAAATCATCTAACGAAGTGAAATTTTCAGGGAAAAGGCCGACCCAATCCCAAGGGTTAAGGAAACGTTTAACAGATGGATCACGAATCGATACTGGTCTTCGATCGTGATCATCATCATCATTATTGCTTAAAATTCGAAAATGCACATAAAACTTTTTAGTTTGATTCCAATCTGGTATATGATAAAATTCAATTCGATAACTTGGTTCAAATAATCCTGGATCATCAACATTAGGCCACCAATCTTTGTCAATTTCGAATTTCAACAATGAACTAGCAGTTGATATTTCATTAGATAACATAGCCATTGGTTCTTGACCTATATGAAATTCATTCATTGTTCGTGGAACAAAAGATGTAGCCGAATCGGATCGTAAACGTCGATGAGGGACTGGTGGTTTATCAAATGCTGACGGTAATGTAAGACGGCGTCGATCACGACGTTGTCGTGCTAGATCTTTTTTCAGTTGTTTCATTTCCATAATTGGTATCCATACCAATTGCCTGACAGGTTTATGATCACTTAACGTATATTGTGGTATTGAATCGTAATACATTACTATAGGTTCAATTTTTGCCACTTTTGAAGGGTCAATTTTTTGCAAATTGCTTTGAATTTTTAAAAGATTACGCCATAAAATTCGATCAGTCCACGCCGGACGACGTTTACGATCATATTGATCACATGAATCCAAGACAAATTTAAACGTTGGTGCAAATGTTATGGGCGATTCTTCATAATCCTTAATGGCTTCACCTTTATGTATGGCATAACGAATTTGATCATATTTCAGCAACGATTCATAACGATCTGGATGATCGGAATTATTTTGATTTTCACGAATAAACTGTGTGATCGATTCAAATTCGTGCGCTTCATTATATGATTCATTTGGTTCGTTCATTGGATTAAGGCGAAAATTGAGATCACCAAATAAAAATGTAATGCTATAAAATTAAATTAAATTAAATTCTGATAAATTACGGACACATTTGCATGTTTCATCATACATACTCTTGATTAGAGACAGTATCGCTATAATTGCTAAAATAAACTTCTGACATGATTGTCATTATATCTTTAATACGTTTTTGATAATTTTCATCATGTGGTGTTAGATGTGCACCAATAATGGCTATCTGAACTTTATTATAGATGAATCGTAGACCAACAGCACCTTTGAATGCAAATGCTCTATCGCTTTGTATTTTTACTGGATAAGTCTTGAAATTAAAAAAGGTTATTAATGATTTCACTTGGAAAAATATCTAAAGAATATACCTGAACATATGAATAACGGTCAATATCACGACGACGTACGAATAGAAACACACCCGTAAAGATAGAGGATTCTTTTCGAAGAAGAACATAATCAATTTGTCGAAATAATTGTTCAAATGATGTACGCCATCCATCGATGTATAAAAATGTTTTCATTGGCATTTCTTCCAAAACAATTGCATAGGCATCATAACGGCGATGATATAAAGCGAATAATTCAGCAAAAGATCCACTCGGCTCTTTGGATGCAACATTATAAGTAACAAAATAGATGCTTAAATAATTGCCACTATTTACTAATTCTTGTTCACGTTTATTTGATTCCTGTGAATCAATTTCAGAAAATGATTTTTTACAATTCATATTGATCCCTTGATGATGATGACGAGCATTGACAATATTGTTATTATTAGTATCGTATAAGATGACTGTATTGTTGTTTTAAAAGGAAATAAAAAAATGACAAAATTAATCACAATGGCCGATAACAATTAAAAAAAAAGGGAAAAACGTATAAAGAGAAAGATGCTAATATTGTAATTTTTTTCCTCATTTCCTATTATGCATACAGTAAGCGACTGCAATCGTAATCACTGATATTGATAAGATCGATATAAGAATTATTATCCAACGTAATATTAATGTCTTTCGATTAAGTCGACCATTATTATTATTATTATTGTTGCTTAATAGATGATTATCATTAATGACAGGTGAATGAACAATACGATTATTTCGTAATGCGAAGAAATTTTGCTCATTCGATTGTTGTTGTTGTAAAATATTCGTTTGTTCATTGAACGGAAATGTTGTCATTTCATTCATTATTATGATTATGATGATCATCGATAATCATCTTTTTTTGGTTTCAAATTTTTGGTTTTGTCTATTAATAATCATTTGATCATCCATTTATGAAAAAAAAATCTAATCTGTATGAATGAGAACATGTTTGATTAAAACAAAAAAAACAACAATTTTGCATGTATTTACCTGAATGGCAATCAAAAATGTTGAATTCATCCAATGATAATTGTTGAAAATGGTCCTTTGAGCAATGATGGATGAAATTGAAAGAAAAGTGATCAGTGGCTCGCTATAAACATACACACACAAACAAAATTTTCATGTATACGTGATATACATGCATGCATACAAACAATACACTCTCACACACAAGATTCGAATGTTTTATTTATAAAAAAAAAATCGAATAACCTAAGCGGAACCAAATTATAATTATCTACAGGTATTCAAGAAAAATTACCATCAAAAATACAAAAAATTAACAAAAATATCGATAACCATGAATGTTGAGAAAAATTAAATAATGTGTTTATCATCATTTCAGAAATTTTTTTAGATTTTTGAATTTTGGAAAAAAAAAAAAATATACACAATAGAATCAAATCATGATCTGATCATTCAGATTAAATACATATTTCATTATTGCAAAAACAACAAAAAAAAATGAATCACACACTAACCTTTAAAAGAGTATTTTTATTTATCTGTGAGTAAAAGGTGATTGGAGAATATAAAATGGCAACAAGTGAACCATTAGCGACAATAACGATTGATAGATGAATTAATTGATATGATCAAGCAAATTGGTTATTGTTGTCATCGTTAGATTTTTTTTTCAGTTCCAATTTAAAATTATCATCTACAATAAAATTTATTTAAAATTATCACTCGTTATTGATAATATAGATGATGATTACCATTTTTATTCTTCAAATTCCATATATCAATGACGATAATGTCGTCATTATATTTCCAATAACAACGATTATATGATATGGATGATGATAATATATTAGTTAGCAATAATCGATATAACGCTTCACTGAACAATAAAAACAATGACATTGAACGTCTATGATCGATTGATTGAATTTCGATATTTATTCATTTTGCACAAAACCATAGAATAGAATGGCAAATAAAATCCTGGTTATAATTGAAGGTTAAAGGAAAAATTTCATTTCACCAAATGATCATAATTGGTGAATACATTTCGGTTTGTTACACATAGATGGTAGCTCACACCAAAACGTTTGTTTTGTATTTGATCATGTGATATTTTTTTTTGTCGAGCCGTTTGAAAAATTAATTCGAAATTGTCATAATGAATCGACGTAAAACAATCAATCCACGTTTATTTCCAGCCAATCAGCTATCATCCATCGATAATACAAATGATTTTGATCTGGAAAAAATCACTGATTTGATCCATGATCGATTTGCCATTCTGGAATTGACTGATATTCGTGAAAAACAATCACGGCTCAAATTGAAAGAACAAGAATTATCGACAAATTTACATCGACTTGATGAATTGAAAACGAATTATGAAAAAATTCATGATGAACATGTTAAATTGAAACAACAAATACGAAGATATCGATTATTATCAGAAACATTAATGCAAGCTGAAAATGTAGAAAAATTTGCAATTGAATTACAACACCAATGTACAGAGCAAAAAATTCCAATCGAAGATGATGAAACCATTATACGAACATTATCTGGTATGTAAGGTTGATTATTATTCTAAAATCAATTATAATTTTATTATTGAAAAAAACTTTTTAGATATTATACAATCCTATCAATCTTTATCTGATGAAAATTTATTGGAAAATACTCGAAAATTTCAACAAGAAATCATGGAAATCCTTGGCCAGAATTTCACTATACAAAATCATCCAGAATCTTATCAACATTTAAAACGATTATTAAACGAATGTAAAGAACAATGGCAAAGTTCGAAAAATCTTACTGGATCATGGCAAGAAATGCAACGGATTCGTACATGGCTACAGTTACGACAAGTGAATCGCGATAAAATATAATTTTTTTTATTTATGAAATTTTACATTATACAAATAACAAAAATAATTTTCCACAATAAAATAATTCCTAATTCAATCATTCATTAATCCAAGTTAGAATCATCATTGAGAATATCTTCCTGTAGAACATTGTGTCCATATGATTGTATGATTGGTTTAAGTAGATTTTTTATGGTTAAAAATTGTCGTTTAAATTCAATACCATCACCTTTGGCAAGACGAAAATCGACAAGAATTTTACCCTTTGACATATCATTTACAGTTGATCGAAATATCAATGGTATTTGATTTCGTCGATTACAGATAATCTGTATTTTATACTGTCCAATCATTTGCCGTTTCCAAGACCATTGTAAATCATCGAATGCTCGTTCCAATGCTTTAATTGTGGCTGAGAAATTTTTCATCGACATAAATCTTGTCATACGACGTACGACACGAAAATATATGGTCATTTCTGGGGGAGTGATTCCTTGTGAAGTACCACCACCTAATTCCATCTGTGTCTGAGTCGATAGAAACATGTCTTGAATACGATTTGGTTGCGAAAATGATGTCCAACTGTTGCCACAATAATCGTAATCGGTTTCATCTGTCATATTTTCTCGATCACAATCATCATCCTTTTGACAAGTCATCATTGCTTGGCTTGCAACAAGTTTTGGTTGTGGTTGTGATGCAAAACTGTCAACAGAAGGAACATGACGTTTATATAATGATGATTTTCGTCCGGAATCTTTATCATAATCGATAAGATTTTTCAAATTAATATAAGCACGATGTGAACGAATTCGATCAAAACGTGCTCGTTTCGATGGATCAGATTCAAAAATTGTCTTCAATAATGCAATGGTTATCGTATCGATTTTTAACCATGGGTTCAAATGTAAACTATAACGGCCACGGATCCATTTTTGATAATGTTCATTCTTTTCGGTAGCTTCTAGCCATGGTAATTCACCAGATAACATTGCTACCAGTATGATACCACAACTCCATCTAATTGAAAAATTTTATATAAAATCAATTCAGCAAAAAAATAATAATAATTATAAATTACATATCCAATGGTTCCGCATAATGTGGTTGATTACGAAGAACTTCGGGTGCAATATACGGTATGGAACCACACATTTGTGTCAATAATCGTTCCTTTCCATTGTGACGAAACAATGTAGCCATACCAAAATCTGCAATTTTCAACATATAATTCTTATCAAGCAATAAGTTTTCCGGTTTTAAATCACGATGTACGATTCCACGTTGATGTATATATTCAACACCGTTCAATAGTTGAATAAAAATTTTTGCTGCTTTTATTCGTTCCATTCCGACATCTGGTTCAATATGTTCGAATAGTTCACCATTTTGAGCATATTCCAAGAATATATATTCAATTTGTGATTGTTCATCACGACGAGTACCATAAAAACTTATGATATTCTCATGTCGAAGATTTTTATGGATGCAGATTTCCTTTTTAATCTGTTTGTCGTGTTCAATGTTTTTAACGGCCAATACTTTGACGGCAACCATATCACGGCTATCTTTGTTCATTAATAATTTAACTCTTTGAATATTAAAAAAAAAAAAATTAAATTTGATTTTAAAAAAAATCGTGTCTAAAAAAAACTTACTCGCCAAAACGACCTTCGCCCAGTGTATCGAGCAACAGCCAACCTTTGACAAATTCGGTTGTCATTGTGGTGTTTTATTTCTTTCACTGTTTGAATTCTGTATCACAAATATTATAATTTTAAAAGTAAAAAAATTAAAAAATAAATTTGAAAAAAAAATTCAACCGTTAATTCAGTTTAAAAACAACTGCAGACGACACACACATTCACATAACACTTGTTAATTTATATCAGGGGCGGGTTCTTCATTTCATTCTTGATGACAATGAATGATCCATTAACTCCTCCTAATTTAAGATCACGTGATAAGAAAAAGAGAAAAGCATCAGGTGTCATCTAGTGTGATTATTTTTAATTTATTATTATTTAAATTCGTGATGAATCGAATGTTGGTTGTTGTTGTTGATCAGGTGGTGATTGTGTCTTATAATTATTATTAAAATGTTGTTGAGTAGGCGCTGCCATTGTTGTACGTCTTGACCATGATATGGGCATCAATCCTGACAGTGAAGGGTTTTTTTTCATGATTGTCGAAGGTTTCGTTGTTGATAATGGTGGTGATGATGGTGATGGCGGTGATGGTGATGATGTTGATGATTGTGATGATGATGACCCTCTTTGTCGTCGTCGTTGTTGTTGTGCTGGACTGTTAGACTTTTTACATTTACTCGTTGTTCTATATGCTGATGATCTACGACTATGTCGTTTAGACATGATAATTGAAAATGGATCAGTAGGAGGACTATTTCGTTGTTTCATCGAACTATTATCCTTATTATGACGTTTGTATTTGTCGGTAGCGAAATATTTTGCTACCGATCGATGAAGATTTGGCTGAAATGGCCGCTGTCGTATTGATTGTTTTTGATGGTGTAACATTTCTCGCCAAAGTTGTGGATCAACAATCTCTGGGTATGGTGTTCGTTTTTCAAGATCCGATCGTGTGATATATCGACATATGATTGGACAATAGATTATCATAATGCAAGCTACGAATGTTATGGCAACAATAATTATAACAATAACCCATAACATTGATTGTATTTGGACGAAATCAAAAAATGTCCACGGTAACCAATAATTCATGTTTTCAATATTTGGATCATAATTAAAATCAATCGTATCGACCGTACTGTTCGTATACCAGCGGTCAACAGGTGGACAACGACGAAACAAAGTTCGATCCATATCGGAGGTCAATACCGGTTCATCCAAATAGGTTCGAAACCAACGGGCAACATTCTTATCTATTTCGAATCGATCTATTTGACCTAAGTTGAAATAAGATTCAGAACAATGGAAATAATCTCGAATCACAATTCGTCTACAACGACTTTTGGTAAGCGAATTTTCTGTCCAATTAAATTTTTGATCAATTTCGAATATGAATCCAAAATAACCGATTATTAGATGAAAATGTCGATTCACAATGAACATGGCATTGATGAATGGAATCTGGAAAAATGTTTCCGATTGCTTGAGACGAAAAGGACCAACACTACCATTATTATTTGCATCTGATATATAAATTTGAAGCTTCGAATAATGACCAAAAGAAATTCAATTTTTTTTGCTTACAATTATTGATGACACTTACTATGATACGATCATTGTGACTGATTATTAGCCAAAGATAATTTCGACCATTTTCATAATCCATAGTGAAAAGTCCGGCAATTACATCGAATTTTGTTGAATCTCGAATTTGACGATCAAAATTAATTGATTCAAATATACGGTGTTGATCTTTCTTTGGGTTATCAAGTTTATTCTCCGCCAAATTCAACACTGCTGTTTGTAATGATCGAATTATTGTCCGATTATAACCAATAAATAATAATTCTTTGCTATCTTGTGATAAACCAGTGGCAAAGCGAACATGAAAATTTAGATTCCAAAAATGGAAAACCTTCTCCGTGTTACCGACATCAAAGCCACCAGTATCTGTTTTATGGTTATAAACAAAAATCCAACGGCCTTGGAATAGATAATATAATTTAGTTCGTGGATCATAATAAACAGCATCAATCAATGGCCATAGGCAAGGATTAACCGGGCAATCGAATAATGATTGTAATGGAATCGTCGGAAACGTCATTTCCCATGAGATCACCGGACAGCGTAGGCAAAAAATTTCGGGCATATAATATCCGGCGCGGAACAGATATAATTGCATTACCAATCGATTGGCCTGAATCCACCAGATATCCGGTCGATATATTGCATCCAAATGACCATAATTCTCAATATCTATTGTCATAATGACTGCAATCAAATCAACAAAACAAATTGAGAAATTTGAACAATCAATTAAATCAATTACACTTACGATGACTATTACTATTAACAGCCGAAGTATGAGCAATATAATCAAAACGTGGATTATTATAGAGAACAAAAAATGATGGATATTTTGATGTTGAAGATTTATGTGACCAAAAAATGCTCACCGAACGTATATTCGTTAATTCTTGACGGAATGTATATTGAATAAGATCGGCAAAATTTATCTTAGCAAATTCGGCATTAATCTGTGCAAGACGTTTCAATTCTGGCATATGTTGTACACGAAATGCTAATTGACTTGAATTGGTTTTTGCCGGTAGATAATAAATTGAATCCAAAATTATGACAATCATTTTAAAAAATGATGGTTTTTGTAAAAATCTATGACATAGAATATGGCCAATTTCATAACAAACGGATTTAGGATTCATCATTTCTGGCATTAGATTTCTTGTAATCGTATGCCAACATTCAAAATTACATTGTCGATCGGAACGTTCGAAATAGACCAATATACCATGTTCACCAAGATCGATAAGAAAATATAATCGGCCATAGGCATAATTTGCCATTGATTGTTGGCGACAATGACGAATTTTTTGATTATCATTTCGAACTAATAATGGATCATAATTAGTTACTGGTGATTGACATCGTATTATTATGATTAATTTAATCGTGATCATCATCAATCGTGTCAAACGTTTCATCGAAATTTTTTTTTTTGGTCGGTGACAAGGGAATTTTTCGAAAATTGAATTCCCGATGAAACACAAAAAATAATTTACTGATGTATTGGTCATTTTAAATAGAATTTAATTCATTTTTTTCTTTAAAAATGATTAGAATTTAAAATAAAATTCAATAATAAAATGTCTAATAAAATAAAAACTAATAATTTGAAAAAAATTATTGTCGAATAAACCAAGCAAGTACGGATGAAAAATTTACACCTAAAAATATACCACATATTAATGATGCGGCTGCCATCATACCGGCTGTACCGGCCAATTTTGGATCCGGTACTGATTGTGGTGTATACATCATACATAATGAGCTATAATAACCGGAACTAAAACCCATCAGAATGCTGCCAAAGAGATAAAGTAGATCTGATTGTATCAATACTGGCCATTGTCGTCGATTCGGTGCATAATTACAAAGCATAAAAAATGGTATGAATAAAAATCGTGACACTACCGGTATCCATAATTTATCAGGACCGGGAAAAATAACAAAATTGGGCACCAAATTACCAAACAATGCACAAGAATTGAAAACTAGAAAACAGGCGACAGCTACATAGTATTTGTCGGTCAATTCTTTTGATCCAAAATATTCCGGATTTATGGGTCGGATATCGGATTGAATGACAGGAAACGTGGCAAGTGTAACGAAAAACACGAGGAATACATTCAAACATTGTTTCCAAACGAATCGAAATACGTATAGATATGGTGGCCGTTCTGGTTTCGGTTGTTGTTTATCGGAAATTTTTTCTTTTGATTCTAAATCACGATCAGAATCGGTAGTGGTGGTCAAAAGATTTTGATTTTCCGTAGTTGTTTTTGTTTTCATTTCTGTTTCTGTTGTGCCATCTATCGTTATCGTTGTTGTTGGTTGTTGTTGAAGATGAGTGTTTCGTAGATAATACAGGAAATATTTCTATAATTTTGTAAATTGAAAAAAATACAGTCAAAAAAATTTTTCAGTTTTCAAACTTACATTTTTCTTCAACATAAAAAACGATGTGAAAGCAAGAAATAGGACAACAATAGCGGAAGTGAAGAAATAAATTGCTGCAATACGTTTATTCGGTGACATTGCTATGGTGGCAATGTTGATCAACGATGTAAATGTACCACATACATTTGTACCGGTTACAATGGCATTCGTATATCTCATCGGTAAACGAGAACCGAGACCATAAAAAGAATTCTGATAGATAGCATTCACCATGTTCAATATGATAACGGTAACCATTGTAAGATAGAAAAATGTTGTCACCCAATCGGTTGTATCAATCCATGCCAATAATACAGTAATGATGATGAAGATTAATTCGATGAAAATTGCTCCCAATATTCGAATATTAAATCCACCAGTAGGATCACTTTTGTTTCTGGATCAATCAACAGATCAAAATCGATTTAGAACATTTTGATGGGTATATATTATACAATTAACAAAAAAAACAACTTACCCAAATTGAAAGAAAATATTGAGTATATTGAACAAAACATTCGGCACTTGTGATGCTATACCCAAATTACTAAGAAAATATTCCTTATATTTTGATTCAATTTTTGTACCATTATTCAATTGAATTGTAAGTTTATAATCAGTGAAATACTGTTGAATAAAAATCATAAATACACAAAATAAATCAGAAAAAAAAATTATAAAATGTGTTCACCTACCTCGGTAGCATTGATGAACATATTCCATGGCATTAGCATAGCAATACCATGTAATAGTAATACGATATAGACAAAATTATATCGATCAATGAGATTAGAATTATTCGATGCTGGTGATGGTGGCTGTTTATTCATTTGATTGATTACTTTGCCATTTAATTGATTATTTGTAGTATTGTCCATTTTGACTATATGACCATTCAATGAATCGGCAAATATTCGTTTATTTTCTACGATATATAGGAGAATAATTATAAAATAACCAGAAATGGGGAAAAATTTTTGAGATCAATAAAAATCAGGATCACAGCTGCAAGACAATATTTTTTTTTTAATATTTCAAATAGAAAAAAAATGACTAAATTGAAAAGAAAAAATTGAAAATGAAAACAAAAAATAAAATAAAATAATTCGAAAAAAATTGCCCGCCGCCTCCGCCGCCACCACAATATAAAATGAATTGGAAATTTTTATTTTTCCAATTCGAACATTCATTCGAATCAAATACAACATCGATCAATAACATCGAACATGATTAACGTAATGCTTTTTTTGCCACTGTATATGTTTAATGCATGAAACCTGATGAATCTTTGACGACCTCATCCAATCAATCAATCGATTGAAGATATATGAATAGTTTGAATATACCAATGATATAAATATATGATGAGATATGATATGAAAAATGGCGGCGTTTTAGGCATATCTCTCTTTGATGATGATCAAGAAAACATTAACCCTATATGTATGTGTGTGTGTGTGTGTGTGTGATATTTGTTCTTTGATTTTTTTTTTTGATTGTTTCTGAAAATTTTGGTCAAAAACCTACAACCGAAGCAAAATGATTGATTGTAAATATTTATATTTATTCGAAATAATTCACACATCGCACATGACATTTCTCCTATATACTATATATATGCTGTGTTTGCCAAATTCATCAATTTTTTTTTTTACAAACTTTGCAAATCCTAACCATTTACAGGCAATATATATATTCTGAATTAATGTTTTTTCCCAATTGCGATATTAATCTCTGTTGTCAATAGAAGAAAAAAAAGATCAGAGCAAAAACAAAATCAATTGATTATGCCAAGCCAATGGAAAAATATAAAACAAGAATAGAATTAATTTAACAAAAAAATTGTATATCGATTCTTGATTATTTGAATAAATGACTGTTCATTGTGTACATGTCATTGCTAGGGGGAGGAGAACGTTAATTGACATTTGAATTTAATGATGAATGTTTTTATATTCAGATTCAAATTCAACTCATACAGCGAGTGATAAATGAAAATAATAAAAGTCATAATGATGATGATGATGGAGTGTAAAAACGCCCCAAATAATTATTGAAACACTATAGTCATTCATTCATTTAAATTCATCGATGTTCTCGATAATCATAAATAACTCTATATATTTACTAAATCATGAAATGGATATCGAAAAAAAATCAACAATTTCCTAGTAAAATCCGTGTTAATGTTTCATGTGTCCACAAATGTTTACACACACATACACACACACACATCCGACAATATTTCAATAAACAAACCATCAAAAACTACAGATTCAGTATAAATCAAGCAAAAAAAAAACATTAAAAATCCCAAAACATTTTTATTTTTTTCATAAAAAAAATTTATCATATCAAATTATTTGTTATCAAAACAAAAATTACTTACCATCTTCATCATCATCATCAACATAATCGGCCATTCTGTCATTTATCATTTCGATTCGTTGACGATCGACAGGTAATGTGTCTGATACATCATCAAAGTTAAAATTATCATCATTTTCGTTGTTGGTTTTGAATACCATGTTTTTTTTCCTTGAATTTAAAAAAGTTGAATTCGTAATAAAAGCTAAGCTGTTAGGGTTGTCACACATACACACACACACACACACACACAAAAAAAAATTAAGAAAAAGAGCGTGAAGAAACCACGTCTGAACCACGTGGTTATATCCTCGAAATTGAATGTAAGAATTGTATATAGGTTGTATATAGAATAACAGAATGTGTATGATGATGATTGAATAATAAAGACTTTTTATTATTTTTGGTTGCTAAAATATATAGGACATTAAAAACGAAACGAAAAAAAAAATGCAACACAGATACGGTATATATAGTGATGATGATGAATAATAATGTGATGTGCTATATATATAAATTGCTAATAGCATTTGAAAATTGAATTTTTTTTTTCTTGTTCAGCTTTGCTGCTAGTTTCATTCATTCAGTTAATAATTAATTGAAAACTATTTTTCCGTAAAAAAAAATTCCTAATGTGTTAACATTCAAATATGGCAATATTTTAATTTTGTTTGTTATTTTATGGAGATGAAGATGAAGTGATGTGATGTTGATGGTGGTGGTGACTTTTTTTTTTGGTTGTGTGAAAAAAAATATGTTGAAATTGTTTTTTTTCCTTTTTGACATAAAAAAAAACAAAAATAATTTCTCCTCATCAGCAGTATTGAAACAAATTGGCCACACCACATAAAACATGGCCAAACTATACACATTTTTCAATGCCTTCTTCTCCGTCTTTTTGGATCAACTCGAAATATAAAACGACTCATGAGCAAGATCCCATCCAATGTATACATTTGAACCATTGATGATTGCAAAAAGTTTTCATTTTGGTTTGTATTCGAATACACCAAAACCAATTCATAATAGGGACATCTGTTATCAGATAGATGAAACATGTATTTGATGAAACTTGAAAATTATTCTATTCTAATCACTAGAATTTTGAATTCTAATGATGATTTTTCAAAGGGGAAGGGGCAATTCACGCTAATGTTAATGGATAAAAATAAAGAAATAAATGACGAAATCAAAATGATAAAATCAAAATCGTTATTGTAATCAATTTGAAAAATCAATGAAAAAACAAAAAATCATATTGAATGTAGTTTATAAACTAAAAGTAAAACTTTTAGATAAATCATCAATGACTATATATAGAACAATGGAATGGAATGGAATGGAATTGAAATGGAAATATCATTATTAGTCATTTCAGTAATATACAAAATCATCAAATCAAACAAATGAATACTTACACGAAAAAATGAATTCAATGTAATCAATCCTGTATTACAATAGGTGAATCCATAACGATTTTTCACATGAAATTTTGCAATATAATTAACTTGTTTTAAATGTGTTCGTAGAATCAATATTCGACAATTCATTATTCTTTTTTTAAATTGTGAATGATTATTATTTAATGGCCGTTGTTGTTGTAGTCGACATGCTTCTAAATGTAATAAATGTTTAATACCAGATTTACTATGTATAGCTGTTGGATATAATACCAGAATATAATGAACAAAAAATACGCCCAACAAAGTACCAAAAACGATTAATATGGCCACTATATAATGCATTAATAATGGACGAAAATTTATCATTATATTTTTAAAATGTGCTAGAATCCATGCCGATAGATATATGTTGATTGGCAATGATGCCATCATAAACCAGAAAAATGTTTTCGACATAACACGATCAACCATCATAATACGTTCAAAAAGACGATTATGTTTATACATAAAACGATTTATACGTATTGTTATATTGTTCATCGATGATTGTAATTGTTGATCATAATGATTATGATAAAGAATTTGAGCAATTTGTTTCAATTCAACATAGAATAATATTGTATATGCAAGTATATAGGTTGCACCAGTTATTAATGTTCGTGATTTTAACATTATATCCACCATAAATATGAATGTATTCAATTCGAACCATATGATTTTGATGAATATTCTAAATAGCCATTGACAATAGATGATTATTGTTGTGATGATAAAATTTGTCAAATTTTGAAATTCAAATTCAAATAACAATGATGATTTTGGCCAATCTTTTTGTATTATCGTATATGTTGTCCAATGTAAATAAAATATATTAATGGCTATCATTGAATTGACTATAATTTGTAGACTATTTAATAACACTATCATTAATTGTCGTAAGGTGAATAACCATTTATCATCATCAAATGGATTATATGTCAATTCAGGACAAATCGATGGATGATTAATAATACCATTCAATATGGCAAATAAACGACGATCACTATTGAAATAAACATTTTTCTCAATAAATACGCACATTATAAATGCTGAATATAATAAATTCATAAGATTATCATCAAAATAAATATAGGCAGCATCGGCCCATTCGATTCGTTGAAGATGTGATAATGGATAAAAATATAAAAATAATATACGTATGAATGCTAGATATTGTAGCCAGAGAATCCAATATACCCATTTACGACAACAATGATCACCTAATACATTGGTATGATACATAAACCATGTTAGCTTATGATAATATTCGACACCTTTGAATGATATAAGTTCACGGCGAACAAATGACCAGAATTTAATTCTATCCGTTGGATTTTTAACACATATTAATGATGATGTTCCATAATTAGATAGATTTGGTTGTTTCAGAATTGGATAGAAATGATTAATGATTTTCAATACAAACATTATGATTGCCAGTATTTAAAGTATATGTGGATCTTGAACTTAAATGATGATCATCGAATAATTATAATTAAGTTGTCCAATACGAGAAGAAATTGTATAAACAATGGCGGAGAAAAAAAATGATGAGAAGAGAAAATTTTCTGGTTGTTTGTTTAAAAAAATTATATATAACTTCAACAATATATTCTCTTGAAAGTTTTGTAATATTAATGACAATTTTTGTAATATAAATGAGTATTATTTGAATTTTTTTGTTTTGTTTTCGAACTGAATTCAAATGAAATATTTGAGAAAAGAGGAAAAGGGAGAAACGTGAATCGATCATGTTTTTCAATGAATAATGATTGAAAAATTTAAAAGAAAAATTCACATTTTTCCCTCATTTTCATCATAATAATGATAATGATGATATATATAGAAAGATAATTATGTTGAATTTTTTTTGTTGCCATTTTCTTTCGTTTGATTTAAAATGGTATATGGTGGTTCGATTCTAATGTATTGATTCGATTCTGACAAAAAAAAATTTAATCGATTTGCATGATCATTTATAAAAGTTACCGAAAGTTTCACAATTTAAATTCAACCATTTCGGCTTCGATTGGATCGATCAGGTAGATTTGGCCATCATCCAAAACATACAAACATTATTAACACGTGCGCATTCGATTGATTTTGGGATCCTTTAGAACAGGGCTTCTTAAACTTTTTTCATTCGCGACCCCATTTCATGATTGCTCTACACAAATACACGTCAAAAATTTTGCTACGCGACCCCATTCGGGGTCGCGACCCATAGTTTAAGAAGCCCTGCTTTAGAATAACTTGAATTTGACAATTTCAGTGTACATTTACCGCGAGTGTTTTTTTTGTTGGAAAAAAAGATGGAAGAAGTAAATTCTATTCATAATAAACCTAATGAAAATGATGATAATAAACAACAACAAAAACAAAGATCCGAACAATCACTCGATCCATTAGGCTATACACAACAACAATCACAAACAAGTGAAATATTTAAAATTGAAATCAACAATCTGCCGGTAAATATAAAATATCAGGTAGGTGAAAATTTCCATTCCACGACCCAACCCATCAATCAATAACAATGTCTTGAGAAACTACAGTTTACTTTTATTTCCATTATTTTTTATTTTTTTGTTTTTGTTTTGACATAAGGCATTCCTTAAATTTTTACGAAAAAAACAAATCATATATCGTAAAATGAAATTAATGTCCTTGAAATCATCGAATAAATCACATGCATATGTAACGTTCAGAAATGAAAAAGAACGATCGCAAGCATTAAACATGCTTAATAATATCGAATTTCGTGGCCGTCAATTAACCTGCCGTGAATCGGCACCATTACCCGATCCATTGATACAGAGACAAATCGAACATCGAATGCAAAAATTGAAATCGATCGACAATGACGATAAAACAAACAATAATAATGATGGCAATAAGAATAACGTTGATTTAAATTATAGTAATTCGACGACGGCCGAAGAGAGAGATAAAATTGTAAATGATCAAGTGTGTTCATTGTGGAATGTTCCATATGATGAACAAATTAATCGAAAAATTAAATTATTGAAATCAATGTGGCAACGATGTGCAACGGATTTTAAATATACTAGACCAGGACCCGAACTTCAACCGACAATGGATTGGTTTCGAAATCATGCTCCGGAACGTTTGAAAACGAATTTTCTTCGATCACCAATAATCAATGGTTATAGGAATAAATATGAATTTAGTATCGGTGCCGATCGACAAGTTGGATTTCGTCTTGGTCTTTATCGTGAAGGTTCCGTACGTGTAGTTAGCCCACCGGAAAATTGTCCAATTATTAATCCACAAGCACGATGTATTTTGGAACATTTTCAACATTATCTACGGGAACGAACCACTCTAGATGGTTATGATCCGGTTACACATGAAGGTTACTGGCGACAAATTCTTGTACGATTAAATCGACAAAATGAAGCATTAATATCGATACGACTTACCAGACAGCCAACGATGACGGATACAGAACTTGAATGTGAATGTCAAAAATTGCGAGAACATTTTGAACAGGAACCAAAAATCGGTGTTCGATCTGTTTATGTTGAAATAATCGAAGATAGATATTCGAATCAATGTGATCATAGTCGTTTTCTTTGTGGAGAGACACATATTTACGAACGATTAAAACTTCCGCAAGATGAAGAACATCTTGAATTTCGTATCAGTTCGACATCATTTTTTCAGGTAAATGTTTCAGCAGCTGAATTGCTGTATGGAAAAATTGTCGAACTTGCTAGTTGTGGACCGGAAACAATTGTTTTAGATATCTGTTGTGGTACTGGAACCATTGGACTTTCTATCGCTAAACGTGTGAAAAGTGTTTTTGGATTTGAATTGAATGAAGAGGCTGTTGAAGATGCTCGATTTAATGTCAAACATAATGGTATCGTTAATGTAGAATTTCATTGTGGCCGTGCAGAAAAATTAGTTGGTCCTATATTGGATCAAATTAGTTCAAAAGAACGTGATGCAGATTTCGTTGCCATATTGGATCCACCAAGAAATGGATTGCGTATGTTTTTTTTTGCCTGTATTTAATTGTAATTAAATTTTCAAACTAATTTTGAATTACTCTTTGAAAATTAGCTGCAAACATAATCAAATGTCTGCGAAATAATCAAAAGATCCGTCGTGTTATCTATGTCGCTTGTGAAGCAATGGCCGCCCGTAATAATTTCATAGAGTATGTTTATTTTGTTTGATTCTTTACTCATTTTGGTTAATTAATTGATTATATAGCTTATGTCGACCTATATCACGTGCATATCACAAAGCTCCATTTATACCAGTGGAAACGGTAGCCGTTGATCTATTTCCACATACTGAACGCTGTGAATTGATTGTCATGTTCGAACGGATATCATCATCAGCATCCAAATCACAACCGGAACAGACACAAGAAACATAGCTCTAATATATTCGTTTTTTTTTAAATTTTATTTGTCTTTAATAAAATTTTTTCAAACACATTAATGAATGAGAATTTAAAAAAAAATTAATGAATAAAAAATGAATCAAAAGAAAAAACACATGAAAACAAATATAAAGATTATGCTCGTTCATTACGTTCAGCAGCTGCAACCGATGATGACTGTTTTTGATGATGATTATGGTGACGACGCCATTCAGCCAAATATGTATGAAATAAATGACGTGCATCTTGCAATACCGATCGAACATTATGTTTTCGTACAAGGCCATCAAAATACATTTGTATATCATTTCGATCCAAATGATTTCTTATGATATGATCACGATTTTGTAGTAATAGTGTTAAACAAATAAACAACATGAATGCATCATTCGAGCCAAGTTGTTCCGGTGATATCAGAGGAAAATCTTCCTCATTTATTTCCTCTTCTGGTTGCTTTTGTCGTTGCAATTGATCCTGTTGTTCCATGAGTAGTACTTCAGACGGTGTCGGTAATAATTCTATCGATGATGAACTACATGATGAATGATCAGATGTTGTCATTGAATCAACTTTTAATGTTTCCATTTGTCTGATAGTAGAATTAAGCATCTCTTCCGATACAGATTTCGCCGATAGATTGTTAAATTGTTCATTAATTGCTTCGATTACTTGTACTTCAGGTGGTTGTTGCTGAAGCTGCTGTAATGGTGAACTAGTTGATGAAACGATCGTTTTGGAACCATCAGAATAATCATCATCATAGCTTGGATCATATCCAAGTAATTGTTTTGCTTTAGGTGGAAATTGTATCAAACGAGGCTGACAAATCGGTGTTGATTGTGATCGTAATCTTGATGGCGATTGTTGAGAATGATAGCATCGATTTTGTGGATGACCGTCGGTTAGATATCCATGATCGACAGAAAGATTCGATAGAATTTCAATACGATTATTAACAGGTGTGGAAATCTCTTCATCATTATCATCAGAACAATCACCATTACAATGAGAACTGGAGATCGGATAAGCATGACGAATATTTGTCGATTCTTTACGAAGGCTTTGAGTTAGATCTATTAATCAAAAATGATCAATTGCAATAACATTAAATTCAAACCAATATAAATCATCATACCTTGATACGATGTTATCGTATTCGAACGTTGAATACCGGAATCAAATGTTGAACATGTAGACGATACATCATCTGTTGGTGGCTTTTTTGAATCAGAATCCTCAGCATCCTGTTCCATCATCAAAATCATCGATTTATTGGCCATTAGATCTTCATCATCTTCACCATCACCATCATAATTTGAATCACCACTGAATGAATCAATATCATATCTGAAAAATTGTTGTTGACTAGATGATTGAATTTGTTCAAATTTGTCCGATTGATGTTGGGATTTTGAAATTAAATTTGGACTATCCCAAGGAAGTGGTGCTGATGTTCGGCCGGATGTTGATGATTGAATCTGAAAATCCATATCTGTTAAAGATGATGGTGAATCCATTGCCTGTGCGGTTGTTTGTGAATCAGTACTCAACATATTTGGCATAAATTTTATTGTCCTTAATTTAGGTCGTTGTAATGGTTTTGTCGATAATTTTTTTTGTTCAACCGATTGTGATTCGGTAATTTTCTCCAATATATCTGTTTCTTGTTGTCGTTCACGGTTATCACTGGAATTACGATTCGGCACGTAAAGAAAATCCGAATCAAATAGATTCATCAAATTTGATGTTTTAGAATTGCTTGATTTGGGACCGGATGATGATTGTGGTGGTATAGATGCCCAAAGTACTTCCAATACTTCCAGCACATCATCAAATGGAAATTCACGTTTCAAATCCAGGAGGATCCATCGATAACAGAACAATAATTCTTCGGCATTTTCTCTTTGTAGATAACGATAAAATTCTCGATCATAATGTTGCAGTAAATGTTTTAGATTACGAAATTTTCTCGATATAGCACCACCATCGGTGGAGAAATTCTCGCCCAATCGTTGCATCAATGCACAGAATGCAATATATGCATGTGATTCATCTTTCATTACATACAATAATGGTGATGCAAGATCACTCATACCTTGACAATAACGATAACAATGATTCAATGCATAGGTGACCAAAATGTTGAACAGGCTAACAACATTTGGATTAGTTTTTAATTTTGATTTGGTTGAACTAGATTTATGATTCTCACTATCATTACTATCATTATCGAAATGTGGAACATCCGAATCTGTTTGACAATCATCACAATCATCCTCACCACCATCTGGACCATAATAAAAATTATGATGACGATCCGTACGACGTACATCTTTTCTGACCATATTACAAACATTTCTAACTTCTGGATCTGTCATACGATTTCGTTGCCATAGATCACGCATCTGACAATAAGTTTCTGATCGTATCCGTATAAAATCTATTCGTTCTTGCCCAGTATAATCATCTGGATATACATTCAATAAATGTTTCCAACCAATACGTCGAAGGTTTGGATCCATACCGCGACGATAGATGGCTATACGAAAATCACGTTGACAGCGAACACGTCCTTCAGAATCAAGAAATGGCCATATATCATGTATTGGTCCATGTACTGGTCGATTAGTATCATCGTTTGACATTAAATATTGATAGATGGCTTCAGCTAATAACCATGAATTGGTTGCCGTTAACATGGCCTTACGTTTAACATTTGTCGTAGAGACTAATTCAGCCTGTAAACGTGCATGCTGTACGATGGCACGTTGTTTTAGTTTTTCAATCTGATTCAATATGAATGAATTAGTTTTGGTCATTGTTTGAGCAAGTATAATATCCGATGATGTAACAATATCCCATTCGGATAAGACTTTATATTTGAGTAATCGTGAACTGACGTTATCCATTGTTGATTGATTACCATCGTCATTATTATTATTATTGGAAGAATCTTCTTTTTGTTTATCATTTTTCTTCTTCGAATGATTATTATGATGTTGTTTGAAACTCATCCGTAATAATTGTCTGAAATCAACGAGATCGATAACAAGATATAATGGGCTTCGTGATTGTAATGAATAATCCAATGCTTGGATTAAATCATCATCATTTTTGATGGCTAAATATTTTGGAGATAACGATGTAGTCGATGATGATGACGAAGATGAAGTTGGTGATGATGATAATGATGATGAACAGGATGAATTACGGCGACGTTGACCAAAATGAATATGATGAAATTGTTCATCCAGCAGATAATACAGGAAAAAATCACTATTGAAAAAAAATGATAAAAAAATAAATTTTTTTTTTGTTAGCAAAAATTTAATAATTTCAAAAAAATTATAACGAAAACAAAAACAAAACAAAACAAAAAATCGCGAACCATTCAATCTGAAATCCTTTGACAATCAATGTTTGTAGGACTTGATAATTTAACACTTGTGGATCGAGATGTAATTTTAATTTCGATAAATTTGTTAATGATTGATTCTTGTTGTGATTATTATTATTATTATTATCATGTCGTTTTTCAATTATAATCTTTAACAATTGTGGTACATGATAATCAACAATATGATCAGTAGTATATTGTTGTCGATGATAATCGGTAATTCTATTTGTAGAATCTTGTCGAAAAAATTTTACCGCTTTCAAAGAATTATGTATCGACATAATGATGATGATGATTTAAGATTTTTTTTTTTTTTTTGGAAAAAAGTTAAAACAAAAAAATATCAATTCGATAATAATAATTATGATTATGAATATAAAAAAATTGTCAACAGAGAAAAAATTTTGTCATGGAATGTCAGTGTGTGTATGTGCATGTGGTATGTGTTGATCTGATTCAATTCATATTCAAGTCATAATCTGATTGTTATTTGGTGATATATAATTTGCATTTAAACATCGTTTAAAATGTTGACAAATCTTTTCTTGACATATAAACAACGATACTATAAAAAAAACAAAATTCAAGACGACAGCAAATGATGATGATGATGATGATGATGATGTTTATCATAAAACGACCATACATTGAAAAAAAAACAACATTAATGATGTTGTGTGTATTTTTCCATTCTACCACTACTTACAATATAGGCCATCAACATTCACATTCTATTTTCTTTCTTTTTTTTTGGAAAAAAATTTATCATCAAAAACAATGTAGTAGTGGTTTTTTTTAAGCTTTTATCGGTTTAGTTTTTTCGATGTTTTTTTTATTATTATTTTCAACGAAATGATGAAAAAAAAAATCAGATCAAAGATGCAACAATAATTGATATATAATCATTATCATGATGGATGATAATGAAGAAGATGGTGATGGCCATTCGAAATTGATTTCCGATTGAAATTAATTTTCAATCAATCAAATGATTTAAGAAATATAAAAAATTATATTATATAATAATAATTATCAATCAAACAACAAGGCTTTGATTGACAGCTAGCTAGCTAGCTAGCCAGCCAGTCCATCAGCCACCTAGATGGTAAATGAATAATGAAATTTTAGGAAATTTTCATAAATAAAAACAAACAGATCAACGATATTCATGAAAAATTCTTGAAAACAAAAATGGACATTTCGTGAATTGTCAAAATGAATGAATGAAAGAAATTGGAAAATCGAACCAGTTTAGTAAAACTGGAAAAAAAACATTCGAATTTGAACTAAAAATGTGTGTCTTTGATCTTTTTTCGTTACTTTGTGTGTGTGTGTGTGTGTGTATGGATAAATAATTAACAAAATTGCAATTTGAATATTTTTTTTCTCGTGGCTAAATTTAGAATGGCCATCAAATCAATTGATAATGATGACAATAACAACAACAACAAAATATGAAATTCATAATGTTGAATCAGTGTTTATCAGTGTATGAGTGCGTGTGCGTGTGTGTGTGTGTCATGAATGAAAATATAATTATTACTTGAAAATAAATTCATCACCAATACCAACAACAACAACAACAACAACAACAAAAAAAATTTTGACAGCACAAAAAAAATCAAAATCATTCGATTCGAATCATTTCATTTCAATCAACCGGCTTGTTACTAACCGGCAAGACATAAGACTGGATAAAGAAATAAATCAAGCTAAAAAAATTGTTGAAATTTCTCATTCCAAAAAAAAAAAATCATCATCGATTACAAACCAGCCAAAAAAAAAAAAGAAAAAAACGGTGGTCGTGATAGATATTTTTTTACGATCGAATGTCTGACCAAAAAAAAAATCGTTTTTTTTTTGTTTGATAAAAAAAAAACTTATCAATCGATGTTGTTGTTATTATTATTTTTATTGTTGATTAAATCAATCAATCCATTCAATCGATCAAATTGATTGAAAACAAGAACAATAATAACAACAACAACAACAACAAGAAATTTGTTCCAGAATGAAACAATTGGATTTTATATTATTTTGTGTACAATATATGGATTATGTTTTTTTCCCCACATCAATTGTACTTGATATGTCAATTATTATATTTGGTAAACCTTTGGAACTTGACCCAACAAAAACAACAACAACAACAACAGCAACACTGTTGATGATAATAATAACAGCAGCAACAGTAGCGTGTATATCAGACCATCGACATCATCATCATTGACATCATCAATCGATCAATTTGTTATCAAATTTACAAGGATTTTTCCATCCATTCATCTATCAAACCAATTCATTTCTATTATTATCACAAATTACGACTATTGGAGGGTTCAAATTCTTCTTTTGACGTTTTTTATTTGATTTTTTCAACATTTTCAAATCTAAATTTTGAATTGAAAAAGGAATCAATGGTTACAAACAGTTTTATTATCTATATAAAATATATGAAAAATTACATCTACTATATACCGGATGTAATTGTTTTTCAATGAATCAAATGGATTCAATCAATCAATCAAAAAAAAAGAAAAATTGATAATAATAATAATAAATTGGAAATGAAGGGAAAAAATCCAAAACGAATCAATCGATATTTCGATTGTGAATATTTGATAAGTCTGTCTGTTGTTTTTATTGAATATCGAACGTTTTCTATCTGGTTTTTTCCCTCACTCGCAATCATCATCAACGTATAAACATAAAACATATATTTCATGATTTTTCTTATTTTGAAGGAAATTTTCAAACAAATCAAAAAAATCAATGATGAATGATGATCATAATTATATGTGGTAAATGAAAAACCGAAAAACATTTAACTTTTCCACTTTTAGCTTTAGTAGATTACAAGCAACTCAATGAATATGATGATACATTCGTTGTCATCAGAGTAAACAAACAGAGATATATATGAATGTTTGTTGTATACACACAAAGAAAAATTTTCCAAAAAAAAAAAAAAAGGATTGAATAAAAATGGAAAATTTTGTGATTTTTTCGATGAAAAATACAAAAATACATACATACATACATCAAAAATGTTGTGAAATGTGAAACATGGATTGAATTAGTAAATAATTCGAAAAAAATGACCAAATTTGTTGATATACGATGAAATAAATATTCTTTCGATCAAATGTAGAATGACATGGAATTAGCTAGAACATTTATATAGATAGATTTTAGGCCAAACAAATAATAAAACACATTAATGTGAATGTGATGATGATGAGCAGAAGATTCTGGATCATAGCTTCATTGCTCTCTTTCTATCATCAGTTATTATTTCCTTAATACATACAAATACTGTATACTTATACTTACACATTTAGAATTGAAATTCTGAAAAAAGCTATATTGTTTTTTTTTTATTGACACAAGGTTTTTTGTGGCCAAACAATAAACTTTAAAGGACAATTTTTTTCTATTTTATTTCTATTATTATACGATCTTGATATGATGGTGATGATTGGATCCTTGAATTGTAGATTTGTACATTGATATATTTTTATTTTATTATTATTGTTGTTGTTGTCGATATTTTTTTCTCTATCTTTTTTTTGGAAGGTCTTTCGAGATAATTTGATAATTTTTTGTTTTTTTTTGTCAGAGATGTATGTATTATATTCACATTTAGTTTTGGAACATTGAAACAAAATCCAATTCTATGATTATATTTTGATTATTGATCAAAAGATGGCAATGTAATCATCATTATTTTGGATTAATTCATAAAGAATGTGACAATATAAATTTTACGATGACGTCGTCTTTCTGTGGTTGTGCGCATGTAATTATTATTGAGTATTAGTTTTTTTGTTGCTAACAACAAATAAAATCTATCATTAAATTATGCTGCTATCAATTTTTAATATTTCTATCCCTTTTCGCATGGTTTTCATGAATAGACCCTTGAATGATTATTATCTCTTTCCTTATGAATATTGAAACTACTACAAAACACCCACACATATCAAATATTAACAAAGTTGTTGACTACTACAATTCTTAATGATTGACAATCTTTATGCTACTACCAAATTTATCGAGGATTTCCCTTTTTTCCCACATCTTTTGTTCTTTCGAATATTTCAGTCTCTTTGTGTAAAGTATGTGTACATCTGTATGTTTTGTTGGTTGCATGTTGTCGTCATTATTCACAAGTTTTGATCTGATCACTGCTCGGCTCATCATTATTTTCACTCGCCCATAATATTAATCAGCATACACAAAAAAAAACGACGATTATTATCATTATATTCGATTTGATTATCATTGAAAATTGTTGTTCAAGAATTATTAAACCATAACAATAGTTTTGAAAGAAAAAAAAGATTAACATCACCTAAAATAAAGTGTATTTTTTTGCTGTCTCCTTTCTATCTGTTTGTTTGTGTTGGTATTTGATTATTGCCAACAACTACAAATCGCAAATCAATCGTTTTTTTCGCCATATCAAATCTCCAGAAAATCTTGAGAGAAGGTATGTACCATTTTACTATAGTAATGAGCTTAGAATTATTGAAATGTTGGAATGTTCTTTTTGATTTTTGTATCTAGGAGTTTTGATTCGACTTCAGCAACAACTACATTATTAGACAAAGGTAACGAATTTCGATTTTTTGAATAAATTGTACCAGACAAAAAAAAATTGCCTGTTTTCTGATCATAAATGTTTTCACAAATTGAAATTCGCTATTGTTGATATATATATGTTATCAGGAAAAACAAAACAATTTGTATTTACCAGAAAATCAATTGACCAAATCTAAACGGTGTTAATTTCGTCATTTTTCTGCTTTTTTTCGTTGCTGTTTCTGTTATCTAAATTGTGATAGTGTTTTTTATTTCTTTTTCTCACCCTTTGCGACTAATTTCAAGGATCAAATTATCATTCTAATGAAAAGTGCCAAGGTTCATTTTTTTCATTGTTGATTAGATCCATATAACATATATTTGACAAGATGATGATGATAATGATGAAATGACCATTTGAAAATGCAAAAAATGTTTGATCGGCTTAGATTTTATTGTTTTTTAAATTTCATTTGCTTAACATCCTCAATCAATCAATAGACATCGTCAACAATCAAACTTATCACGTGTGTTTGTTTTTGTTTGATAGGTTGATGGTGGTTGTATCCGTTGATCTCATTGATCGATGTATATTGTCGATGATGAATGGATGGTATCCATATACAAATAGTGAATGCATTTTTGATATTGTCATATGACATTTTACATTCAACGATGATATTATTTGGTGATAGAAAACACTCCATGCACACACACATACACAGTTTTTGTAATGCGAGGCTAAATTTTATTTTGCCAATTTTTGTTTTGGTAATGATTTTTGGTTGATTAATTTTTTTTTTGTTTTTCCTTAATATTTATCGAACCATTATGAATCGAATATTTGATCTTCAAAGTGGTTTTTTTCTAGTTGTACTTTGAAATTTTCGCGAATTATTATAAATTACATGATAAACTTTTCTCGAGAATTTTTTTTTCATATCGTTACCTGGAATTACACGTGTAGTGGAGGATGATCCTGGGTGTAGGATGTTTTTTCCACTTTGTTTATGTAATTTGATTCTGATTAGATTATGAAGAATTGTTTTTGTCTGGTGTTTTTGTTTGTGTGGTGTGTGTGTGTTCATGTTTCGTGTTTCACTTAGTGAAATTAGTTGATGATTTTAGATTTTTGCCATTTTTTTTCTCTCAAGTTTTAGGTAGAATATTTACCTTGATGATGATGATCTAATAAATAAATAATGCGAAAAATTAAAGAATTTTTTTATAATCAGTTTTTCTTTTTTTTTGTTTTTTATTTATTAATTAAAAATTTAATTTTTTTTTGTCTTGTTTTTGAAACAACCAGAAAGAACAATACTAACAACATAACGAAGAAACGGACAAAATTTTTTCATTTTTTTTTGTTCGAATCGCGCAAACTCTGCGTACATCACACAAAAAAAATTTACATCAAACAAGCAACGAAAAATATACATCCTTATAATTGGAGAAGAAAAAATCAACAATCAACTTTCATTGACGAAGAAAGTTTCTCAACACTCTGTGTCTGTGTTTGTTTTGTGATTGTGGTGGTGGTGCTCGTTTTTTGAGCATATGTGTGTGTGTTTGTGTGTGTATGTGGTTGGATTATTCAATCAACAATTTTTTTTTTTTTTTTTGCCAAGTGTGAAACAACAACTTGTATATCGTTAGTGGTTATTTTATACCTTTATGTTAAGAAAGTTTGGTTTCATTTCATCAATTATGATGATGATGATGGGTGTATTATTGCCTTGAAATTCTTTGTTAATGTTCCGATTTCTCAATTCATATTGCATCGTCATTGGTGTGGTGATGGTGAATATTCTTTTGTTTGAATATTTTGAAGCTTTTTTTGTCATAATAACAAAAAAGCTTCAAAATACCTTGTGTAAAAATTAGGTGTGTAAATTGTTTGTGTTTTTCATATATTGTACATCATTAATCGTAAATAAAACGACGATTATCGATGTACGAACAACGACAACTACGAACAAATTCGAAACTAAAATATACGATTAATAAACTAATTGATTTCAATAAAAATTTTGAAATTAAACAACGACGACAACAAAAACAACAATCAAAGCTACAAAATGATTTAATTTTGTATAAAATTGTGTGTTTATCATCATCATCATCAAATCATTATCATCATCGTCATTATCATCATTGTCGTCATAGAAAAACATTAATATTGAAAAAAATTTTATTTAAAAAATCATCATCATTGCGACCACAACGACAACGCAACGTTTTATTATACAAACGATTATTATGCGTGAAGAGATTGAAGCGGCTGTTACATTTTTGACTAGGCTTTTGGCCACTAAAAGTAATCCGGATCCTGGTGGATCCGGTGGTAGTGCTGTTAATAGTGGGACGTCAAATGGTTCGTTAACATCTAATACCAATAATAATTATAATAATAATAATAATAATACAACGACTTCAAAATGTGGAGATTCAAAAATATCGACACAAGATTCTCATCAAACATCAACAGCGACAACAACAACGAATAATAGTCAACAATTAAATGAAGAGAAAATCAAAAAATTCTCACAAAAATTAATAGAAATCTTAACACAACGTTTCCAGAATCATTGGTATCCGAATAATCCGTCCAAAGGACAAGGGTATCGTTGTATACGGATTAATCAAAACTGTCGTGTTGATTATTCCATTGAAATGGCCTGTCAACATGCGGGTATTAGTTATGATGCATTACGTTTGCCAGTCGAATTGACATTGTGGATCGATCCATCCGAAGTTACTTGCCGGTAAGATGAGACATCCTTGAATTGTAACAAATTGCTAAAAATCTAACCGTTTTCAATCAGATTTGGTGAGAATAAAGGATCATATTGTATAGTGGCCAAATTGGGCGATGGTCGTAAAGAGAATTTTGTTGATTCAATCAATATTGATGAATTGGAACAACGATCTATCGAACATCGATCGAAAACGGTATGTTTAACTCTTTATTTGTGGATTTTAACTCATTTTATTTTTTTCCATTTTGTTTCCATAGGCGTTTGAAAATTCTTCACGTATGAAAATGAAATCCCTATCTCATCTGGCACAACATCAAAGACATTTGACATCGATGGCTGTTGCTGCCCACTTGGCTGGATCAGCTGGTGTTTCATCGACTAAACAACAAAATCGTCAACAATCACCTGCAGCCAGTCTGATGAATCAATTCATTTCGACAACATCGGCAAGCTTTGTAAATAATAGTGTCGCTTCTTATCATGCAATGAACGGAAATGGTGGTGCCGGTGTAGCAAATGGAGCACTCGCTGCTGCTGGTTCTACACCTAATTCTCATCATGGAATCGGAGCATCACCAGTTGGTGGCGCTGCATCATTGACCAATGGTTTTAGTGGTGTTGATCATCATGCATACGCATCGGCACTTGGTGCCACTGTTAATGGTCTTGGTCCAGTATTTGGTCCAGTTAGTACCGGTGGACCTGGTTCTGGTTCTGCATCAGCTGGACCATTATTTCCTGGAGCAGCCGGTGCTACCGGTTCTCAAACTACGAATCAACAACCTGGTGGGCCAGCAGGCGCACCACCTGGACCATTTCAACCTTATCAATCAGCGGCACAATATTTTTTCCATCAACAACAACATGTCAATTTTCAGCAACAACAACAACAACAGCAAATGGCTGCCGCTGCTGCCATACAACATCAAGGATCATGGTCCCCCGCTTCCGGTTTGTTTGGTGCCGCTAATTCGGCAAGTAAATTTCTAACCGGAATGACAGGCGGTGGTGCTGGTTCACCACAACAACAAGCACATCCCGCATCATCATCGACCCCGCCAACAACATCAGTTATTGGTCAATCACGTGCTGCTTCATTGGGTGGTGTAGTATCATCATTAACATCCGGAGGTTTTGGTACGAATCGTGTACAAACATCATCATCAGCAACGACACCAACGAATGTAGCAGTCAAATCGAATAGTCAAACCAATTCGAATGCTGCTGGCCTATTAACCAATGGTGGCCTAATGAGCGGCAATGGAGCCAATTCAAATCCAGTCGGATCGAATTCAGTGACAGCAAATGGTGCGAATCCAAATGCACCGGTATTTGTACCACGTGCAAATTACTTATACTCACAATTTAATCTTTCGGCTCAACCATTCACACCATCATCGTTGGCTAACAGTAAGAACGATTAATTTTTACATATCTTTGAAATTTTATGTCATTCTAGGTTTCGGTATTGAATCAACAAATGGTTCACCATCATCAACAGCAACATCAATGAAAGATCGTCGTACTGGATCATCATCCGTATCACCGGGTATTGGCCAAACATCATCATCATCGACATCATCAACTGTTACAGGTGGAGGTGTTAGCGTGGCTGCTACAGCAGCAACAGCTACAACTGCTGGTACACCACTAGTGTTACGATAATATACATACACATCCACACCACACCTACCTAGATATAGTAAAATTTTGAGACCAAAATTTTTGAAGTTAATGATAATTTTATTGCTATTATTGTCTAACTAAACTACTAAAATTCTTGAAGAAAAACCATTTCATTTAAACATAAACACTTACAAACAGAGAGATTTATATTCAAGACATTTATAAATATGTTCAATTCAATTTTTTTCCTTCATACACACACTAAACACACGTTTTGTCAATTTATCAATTTTAAACAATCACACATCTATTAAATATATTTTAATCCATAATTCATCCATTTTTTTTCTTTCATCAATTCATCATTTGATTTTCTTTGTTTTTCATTTCATTTTCTTTTAGTTTTGAATAATAAGCGAAAAAACTATATTACAATTTTTAAATAGATTTTTGATAAGATATTTCATTCACACGCATCCTCAAACACACACCCACACATTGATTTGATGGAGAATTTTTTTCCTCTTTTTTTTGCTGATGATTTTATCGAATCAAATCAATCAATCAATGAAAAAAATTGATTCTGAAATAGACAACAAACAACAATGATTCTTTTTGGTGTTTGTGTTGATAAGAATTAATATATCCTCACTCATTCATGTTCATAAACAGCCAAAAAGTCTTTCGATTAATACTGGACAACTTAAACATACATGCTTCTAATATATTGATGATTTATGACCAATGATGATGATGATCACTACTTTAATTTACACTCACATACACAAGAATGGATTTTTTTTAAATTTTTTTTTTTAGCAAAAACAAAACCAAATTCCTGAATACAAACACACGCACACACACACACACACACACATACACACACACACTAGTGGTGTAAGTCAGCCAGCCATCGCAGAATTTGTATGATATTTACATCTACCACCAGCCGAACTTTATTGGGATGATTATCGATGATAATGATGAACTATGTTGATGATGATTTCAAGATCCTATGCCAATATTTCATTCATTCAAAATATAACAGGCAAAAATGCAAACATCAGCCTCGACATTTGGTATATTAAACAACGAAAACAAAATGAAATTGATTATTAATCTAAAAAAACAAAGAAGAATGATTCTGGATCTGTGATATTTTTTTTCGTATAAATATTTAAACAAAACAAAAAAAAAGAATAACTCAAAAAATGTTCTCAACAACCACCATCTTCATATATATCATCAAATCATCCGTCTTGTCTACGTTTTCCTTTTTCCTGTGTAAATTTTTTTTTAATTGTGTAAATTATATTCTTTTGCCGAACTGTTGCTTGTTTTTTTCCTTCCCATCATCATCGACAATAACATCACATGGCCCATGAAAGGATTCTGTTTTCCGTTTTTCAATTTCGGGATTTTTTTTTGTACAATTTTGTGATATATGGCACACACCCACACACACACACATTAAGACAAATGTGAATGTTTCTATTACTGAAACACACCAAATCCAAGGTGAAGTTTGTAAATTTTCTTCTTCCATCATGATATAGTTTTTTTGTCTCATTCATTCGTTTGATATGTTTGTGTTTGTGCGTGTTTTAAACACTAACTCTACCCCTTTGTTTTATGGACAAACTGATCTGTACAATTTTTATTTTGATTTTCCTTTTCAGTTTTTTTTCCGTTTGAATATGTATACAGGACAGACAAAAACACACACTCCCCATGTATGATACCACAATCCATTATTTTGGTTTTAAATTTTTTTTCTGCTGCTATTGCTGTACATAACACAAACACACACACACACACAATTATGAAAACAAAAATCAAATCAAAGTTACCTCGAAAAATGAACATAATTTTTTTTTCGTTTGTTGTTCATTTTTAAAATTTTCACTCACACACAAAAAAAAGCTTGAAAAAATTGATCTTCATCATCAAATCCATCAATCTTCATTATCAATCGACTACGGCTATACAAAAACCACTACCATCATCACCAACCCCGAGTAACAAAATTGTTGTTTTCAATTTCAAAAATTTTTAAAACCACCTACCATTATCTATTCTTGAAAATTCTTTGTTCTCTCTCTCTCTTTCTTTCTCCAAAACATGTATAGTGTTGTTATTTCTAAATTATTATTATTTTTTTTTTAATTTCCTGCCACAGTTTTTATTCAATCAAAATTATTTCAAATGAAAATCATCCCTACACAATCTTTATCCACCACACCACCACCACTATACACATTGTTTGTAAATTTTTTTTTCTGTTAAATATTATATTATATTCATATATAAACACAACCCAAAATTTAAATTTGTTGTTCATTTCTAAAAATCAATTTTTTTTCGTTTGATTAATTTATGATGATGAGATTGAAATCATTCAAAGAATGATTGGAAAAAAATTCTTCTTTCGAAAAAAAACAAAATCTCCATCATGCACACACACACACACACAAGCACATTATCTTTTATTATTATTATACACACACACACATAAAAAAACAAATACATTAATCTTTCATTAAAATTAATAATTCAATCAATTAATTAACGAAAATCGTAATATTTCAATTTTATTATCATATATGGATGGATATGATTTAAACACTAAAACACATACACACACACACACATCGGCCCCGATTATTGACATCCAATTCTTTATAAAATTTTTTCAAATGCATGCACACACACACATTAATCTCTCTCTCTTTTTATCACTTTCACATTATTTCTTATATCCTTATTATTATTATTATAAATATTAATTGATTAAAAATGATTATATCAATCATTATCATTTAATGGAAATTTGTCATTTTTGAATTGATTGAGTGATTGAAAACGAATTATTAGATTGAAATGTCACCAAATAGATGGCACCACTTACACATATCATATGAATCTGGGTGTTTTTTCTATCCAAAAATTTATTCATATCATGATCATTCGTTACATGCGAAAATTATTGTGAGCAAACAGAAAAAAAATGGAAAGAAAAATTGCCAAAATCTGTAAAGAAACGTAAATAAATATAAAATGATGAAAATCGCGACAATTTTCAATAATAATTATTCCTCTCTCTCTCTCTCAGGCTATCATCGGAATCAAAATTAGGTATCATTGTTGCCGATACGAATGGTCTTTGTCTGGCTACCGATGGTTGTGGTGATAAAAATTTGGCTCCAACATTACTTAAAATAATTCAATCGGCTAATAAATTGGATGAAACTAAACAGGAATCAATGGCCATTAGAATAGATTGTGTCGATCATTATATCAATGTAAAACATCATAATAATGTTATTGCAGCCGTTTATAATCATTATTGATAATGTGATTTATTTATTAATTTTTTCAAAAACATCCTTATTGTATCATTGATCATTGAATACATTAAACAATAAATATAAAAAATAAACAATTCAAAATCAACCATCCATCTACGTTTTCAATTAAGCATGTTCAGATGATAATGATGAATGTTCTCGTGTAATCGTATAACGTTCAATGATGAATCGATCATCTCCTTTGGAAAGATCTATTTTATAATAATGATCAGAAAATTGAACTATACAATCAAAAAAAAAAAAAAAAAAAAACAGAGATTTGTTATATATGGGTTTATGGAAAATTATTTTGTTTTAATTTTCACTTACTGGTCATTCCAAGGAAATGATCTTTGGTCAATTTTTTAGTCTGATGAGCACGTAATGTATTGATAATCGAACAAATATTTTCAACCAGATATTTATTGTTGACAAATTCTCCCGAAGCTTTTTGTGTTTCCAACGTAACGTTGTTTAACACTAATTCTCCTGTCTGAATAGTTTGTGGACGATCGTTCATGATTATCGAAAAAAAATTTAATGTTACTGTCGATCGTAATGATCAAAACAGTGTCATTCCAAATTCCGAATCAAAATATATGATCGATTTATTTGTTGTTAGCGATGTGAGAAATTAATGTGAGATTCGACAACCAGAAAAAAAACTTCACTATCGCCATCTTTTATCGAATAAAATGAGACCATCAGTGATATTATTTTTCGTTGTTGTTGATGTTGACATTGAATGATGTCATTTGATTGATTGATCATCATATATTTACATCAACACATTAGTCAGTTTAGAGTTGTTGAAACGTTTTTGAATGTCACCAACTTCATTATCCTCATCAGCAGCCGTTACATCATCATGGCTATCGAAACCAATCAAAGGATTATTATTGGATATAACCGGTGTTCTATATGAAAGTGGAACCTCCGTTGCAATACCTGGCTCAGTGGAAGCTATTTCAAAGTAAGTGTTTTTTTTGAGAATTTATCCACAAAGTTTCGACGATTGTTTAAGTATTGTTTTTTTTAATTTCTCTTTCTCGCACTCACTCATTCTCAAAGATTACGCCATGCTGGCTTACCATTTCGATTGGTAACAAATGAAACACAGAAAATTACGCCAAAAATAATTGAAAAATTGAATAATTTTGGCTATGATTTTCAAAAACATGAGATTATTACACCCGGAATGATTTGTTGCAAATATCTCCATGACAATGGTCTTCGACCTCATTTTCTAATCACTCCAAGTAAATAATTGATTTGATTGATTGAAAGAAAATGATTTCATGATTTTTTTATTCCAGATCTTGAACCAGAATTTGATGGTTTAGATCGTAGTGATCCAAATTGTGTGGTAATAGGTGATGCTGATCGTTATTTTACATTCGAATCAATGAACACTTGTTTTCGGCTTTTAATGTCATTGAAAGAACGTGAATTGAATCGAAAAAAAAATTTATTAATATCATTAGGACGAAACAAATATTATCGTGAACGTAATGAATTAAAAATGGATCTTGGTGGTTTTACCGTTGCATTGGAATATGCATGTGATCTAGAAGCGTTGATCATTGGTAAACCATCGGCCGAATATTTTCAAACAGCCATTCAAACATTCATTGATCCATCATCATCATCATCATTATTATGTAAAGATAATATCATTATGATTGGTGATGATATTATTGGCGATGTACAAGGTGCACAGAATTTCGGTATTCGTGGAATATTAGTTCGTACCGGTAAATATATGCCAATTAATGAAAATCATCCAATCGTTCGTCCGGATGGCATTGTCGATAATCTAGCCGCTGCCGTTGATCAAGTTCTTCAACATAATCAAAACAATTAGTCACTTTACACAACCACAATTCCGAATGAGATATAGGAAATTTATAGAAATTTCAGGGAAAAAATAAAAATTTTATTTTGTCAATTTATTTCAAATAAAAATGCTTGTTTTTTCAAAACAAAACTGAGTAAGAAAAAAATCAAAAAGAAAAAAATTATTCCTGAAAATATTCCAATGGATCATCCAATTTTTTAATATCCGGATGAATAGCTGTCAATTCTGGTTCTTTAGCCATACATGGTAATGGTTCATAGATTCGTAGATGAACATATTGATCATCACCGATATGACATTTAACATAATAATTTATACCGGCAACTAATTGTGTACGAATTTTTACCGGCTCAAATCGGCTCAATTTTCGGCCCAATTTTTCCTCAACTTTTGGCTGAAATTTTTTCACCATTGCACGGATTTTATCATCGATTTCGGACGATTCTGGTGCTAAGCCACCACAAATTGGGCCTAAATCAGGATGTTTTGGTTTTGTTGACATATTGTTTTTTTTTCGTAAATATCGATTGTTTGATGTTTGAAAGTTGATTTTTTATTTTTTGGCTCGTTATGTGAATGGAAAATCAAACACAATTTTGTTTTCAATCTTATAATGCTGCTATTTATATATATATCGTGTAAACATAATTTCATTTATTATTGATTATGATCGCATAAACACAAACACAGATAACTCCCAATGGTAACCAATATCGAATCCAATTTTATGAATCAATCAATCAAAAATAGAAACAATAATCAAACTCAAAAAAACGAATATCATTTTTTATTTAATGATTGTTTGATAGTTGTCAACAACAACAACAACAACATCAACATCATTGAATGTTTATTGTGAGCGGTGATGGAAATTTTTTGGCGTTGGTTTTTGTTATTGTTATTGCTGCTGCTGCTTTCGTAGTCGAATGAATCAGTAAATGTTGCAATTTTTTTTTATTTGTTTGTTAAAATCGATTAGAATCCAAGGTTATTTAAAAATTCTTTCTCATTTCTACTGATAGATGCCGCCATATATGTGTTTTTTAATATAGTTTCGAGTTTTTTTATTTTTTTTTTAATTCATACATCAGACCATGTAATTTGATTTTGAGATTTGAAATTATCGATTTCTATTAAGATCCAATGTTGTCACAAAACTGATGATGATGACGAATTCATTCTTTGTTCAAGTATGTCCACATTGTATCTTTAAATTTGGATTCATTTTTTTTTTTTTTTTTGGTTCGAGGTACCACTTGGCAATCGACCAATAATAATAATTTAGTTATGTCCATGACAATTCATTGTTTTGTGGCATCTGTTTGTGAAATGAATAACGAGAATGTGAAATAATAAGAATCCAAAATGTAATCATATACAATGGTATTTTTATTTTTATTGCTTTCAACCAATTTTTCTCCCCCCCACACACACCGAAAAAAAACTGCTCTGATTCTGATTATTAATATTATTATTGTCAAGGGATCTAGAAAAAAAACGAAGAAATTGTTGCACATTATTTGATTGTTATTGGTCAACAACGACAATTTTTTTTTTTATTTTGGTTATGAAATGCTGAAATGAAAATCCAATTCATTTTGATCATCCAACAACAAAATCAATGGGAGGTCAAACAATGATGATGATAATTCTGATTATGACAAACATACAAATTGTTTCATTGTGAAGAATTATTATATACACTGTTATTGTTAATGAAAAGAGAAAAGTGAAGAAAAAAAATTTGTGATTCATTCATAATCATGAACGATGGTCGCCGTCTTTGTATATGGTATGATCATCATATCATAATAATAATTTCAAGATTTATGAACTCTCTCTCTCTCTCTCTGGGTCCGTCCATGGAAGAAAATTCTTTTATAGCGATTATATTAGTATTTGTTCTGCGTGCAATTTTTCTCAATTTAAATGATCACGTTTTTTATTTATTTTGTTTGAGTTTGGCGACAATTGTTATTCCAATTGTAGTAAGCAAGTTTGTTTGTTTTTTCCATTCGACAGAATTTTTTTTTGTTCCTAAAATTTTTTTTTTTTTTTTTTTTTTTGGATTTGAATTTTCAACATTACCTCCCCTCACCCCTAGGAAAAACTTTTTTATTATTATTATTTCTAACTTCTAATTTTCTTCTTTTCACTTTTTTAGAACTTTGAACCTTGAGCTGTAAAAAATTGAAATAAACATCACAATCCTCTTCATCATCCGTTTTATTTCGTTGTTTTGTTTTTTTTTTTTTTTTGGTTTAGTCCTAGTTAAAAGCCAAAAACCAGAAGATCAAAAATAATAATAATAATAATAAAATAATAATATGGACCATTTAGTTTAATTGAAACTTGCATCAAACATTAGTTGAATGAGAAGAAAAAGAAATTGAAAGAAATGATCCTGTTTGGAATGATGGTGGAATCAAATTGGGCATCATCATCATAAATCTAATTGATCCTGGAACAATCGCGCGCATACACACACACATAGGCAAAAATCTTCATCATTATCCAGATCCAAAAATAATAACAATGAAAATATTTAGAGTTTTTTTTGTGAAGGGGTGGGGGTGGGAAGAAGTGATGGTGGATTCATTATTATTGTGATCACAATATATTTATTTAAATTATCATTATTTTTTTCCACTTTCATTAATTTTAATATTTAACAAAACATCCACCTTCCGTCCCCCGCTACCACCTTTGTTTTATGAAAAAAAAAATTAAATAAAGAATGTTATTGTAACTAAGCACACAAAAGTATAATGCGAAAAATATCTAAGTAAATAAAGTCATTCACAATTGAAATGATTGGTTGGTTGGTTGGTTGATAGAATGATTGGTGAGAAAACAAACCAAGCTTAAAACACCAAAAAAAAAAAAAAAAAAATTAAATGAAGGAGAAAATTAAAATCCTTCCTTCCCCTCCTTCATCATCATCATCACATCTGTCTCAAATTACCATGATGTTTGTATGTCCTGTCTTCCTTTTCATATATCCATAGCCCCTAAAGTGAATAAAACTTTATTTCGAATATAAAAAACTTTATACATTTTACTGGATTTGGAAATTGTTCCAAAAATGTGGTAGCAGTATAATAATGATAAAAAATAATGGATGGATTCATGAAAATTCAGTTATAGATAAAAAAAACCTCATCATCATTATCATCATCGTCAGTATTGTCGTCGTCGTCGTCGACATCATCATCATCGAGACAAAGCTCTAAAACGCAACAAAACAAAAAAAAAGTTTCGAATGTTTCATCGAAAACAAGACAAACAAAAAAATTCGAATAATCTCTCAATCGAGTTTGATTTCCATTTTCCATTCTTTCTCATTCTTGCTATTTGGAAAACGAAACAATAAAAAACAAACAAAAAAAAAAGAAAAAAAAATGATCATCATAAACATGATTGGTTTGGGAATTGGTATTGAATTAGTTGGGGGTTATATGGATTTTTTTTTGCCCATAATATGAGTTCATCATCATTATGCTCATTACTATTTCCATCTTCAAAAACTATCTCCACATACACACATACATTTATCCATCGATGTATAGAATGAATTTCCGATGAAAAAAAACAATAATAATAACAACAACAACAAAATCGAAATGATAATCTTCATCATTATCGTCAATTGTAACCAAAAAAAAAAAAAAAAAAAAAAAATTGACAGAAACTGATTGCTGATTTTTAATCGAATTTTTATTATCATCATCATGTACAAATGTAGTGTGGGGGAATGGTATTTGTTTTTTTTGCGTATGTGGTACCCAAATTGTTGGGATTTTGGCCAATATGAATGATGATGTAGAACAAATTCTTCTTCTTGAAATCATTGCACTGATTATGATTTCTGGTATACTGGTCGTTGGCCAGCCAAGATTTATTATCATTGGTAAATTTTTTGACACTGTAATGAAAATATTTTTCATTTTTTTTGGGCCACGAAACACACAAACACACATATAAAATGGAAAAAAAAAGAAATTTGCATGTTCGTGTCAGGTATCATTTGTTATTATTGTTATTATTATAACTCAAATTAGACCTAGCCCTATTCAAATCGACCGAGATACCAAACTAAAAACCAAAACCGAAACCAAAACTGAAAGAGGCACCGTTCATGATTGAATTGAAAATATAAATACGGTAATAGTGAAGGTCACAAAACAAATACAAACATGACACATTTATTACGAAACAAATTTCCATCGATCCAAGGCCATTATCGTCATCATCATCATCGTATGCAGATGGGTCGAAGGTCATGGTAGGAAATACTGTGTACAATAATAATAACTTACTTCCTAATCACATATCATTTGTAATGGTCAAGGACATTGTAAATGAGTTACCTTTATTTGATTTTCCTCTTTGATTATCATCATCTTCATCAGCGTCGGATATGATACGGAAATTTCTGGCCATGATCATATTGGTCATCATAATCATCATCATCATCATTAAATTTAAAAAAAAATTGAATTTAAAAAAAATAAATTTTACAATTTTGTTGTTGTTTGTTGGAAGGAAGAATAGTGGTAGTGGTATTATTATTATTTTGTTTAGTAATTCTAGGAGCACATAGTTTATAATCTCTCTCTCTCATCCATTCTATATAAAACAATCATATTGTTATCTTCTATTCATTTAATTATTTTACTCCGCCTATTTATTCCATTTTATCCTTATTTGAAGAATTCATTCTTAATGTTCATTCTTTATTGGTGGATAGAATAAACCAATTGGTGAGAAGGGCACGCCTTTTTTATATATATATTTAAACGTTATCTATCATTGAATGAATGGATGAACTAGCCATTTTTTACAATATTTGCGCTATACAAACATTCGAATCGAATTGCGATGATGATGATGGTGATGATGTTCGCCAGTGGCATATAAATTCGACCGATTTCATCGTTTTTGATTGTCATTCAAAAGTGAAAACTTTTGAAGCTGAAAAGCTTTCCTTCTCATCATCATCATCATCATTTGTATCAATCAAATGAAACAAATTTTGTTTGATACAACTCATTTGGACTTTGATTTTTTTTTAGAAAGATGATCCTATTAGCCAACAACACACATAGATAGAGAGAGATCATGATTCGATCAATGATTATCGTAGGTAAGTTTGTAAGTATCTATTCGTTTCATTTTAACGTTTGATTAACATTTTTGTTTTGTTTTTTCTTGTCTTTATAATCTAGAAAAATTCATTCGAATGCGAATATTCAATTGATCAAAGCTGTCCTGCTTTTGTACTCCACCAGGTGCCTGAAAAAAATAAAACAAAATCAGGCATCTTCTGGGGAGCAAAAAATAAGGCAGTCATTTAACATCGATCCACCATCAAATCTACTATCGTCCATTCAGTAATGGCTATATACTGACAGTTTCATTGCGCCTGTGTATTTATTTGGTTGGCAAGAATCTGGTTTCATTTTGGGCGCCAATCATTTTCCCAAAAGAATCATAATAACCGAAATAAAAGCAGTTTTACAAACCAAAAAAAAAAAAAACACAAAATGCCTACTATCTACAGCTATCCTAGTAACCCAGACAAAAGCATTTGTTGTTGCATTTTTTTTCTCCCTAAACCAGACGATTCCATTTTTCATTTCATACTACCCATAATCTTGAATGGATTTTTCTGGTTCAAGGTCTTTTTTTTCCTTTTCTTTTTGCTATTTGGTTATCCTTGAAAATTTTTAAATACTATTTTCAATGTAATTTTGATGAATAAAAAAAATTGTTTTTTTTTCTAAATTAAAAAAAAACTAACATTTTTGTGTACATTTCTTTCTCTCTCGCTATATGAATTCTTGAATTAATGGTTATGTGAAAAAAAAATTCTAATGAAAATTGCCAAAAATATCATCATCAAATGGATAGATTTCTGTCAAATAATCAATTCAATTTGAATTCATTCGATTCAATTTCGATGATGGTGAATGATGCACACATTTCATTCATTTGATTCGATACGAAATGAAATGAATCGTATATGCAAACACACACACACACTCACAATGAATTACAAATGAAAATTTCCTTGGAATCCATTAACATTTTCTCTTGTTCTGTATGGGGTTAACATGGAATTTTGTTTCTGTTATCAAAAATAAAAATGATGAACATATATTATATAAAGCCTTTGTTATAATGATGATGATGAATTTCCTAGAAAAATATTCCGATTCTGTGTTTTTGTATTCTATATTCATAAATGACGAACAAAAATGTTTAACAAAACGTCAAACAAAAGAATGATGATGAGATATATTGTGTGTGTGTGTGTGTGTGAATCAAATCAAATTAGTGAGATGTTTGGAAAAAAAATATTCCTGAATTGTATGTACAAAAAGATATAGACCGACCAACACAGTAAAAGAACGAATTGCTTGTGTGTTTTTTTTTTGGTGATGATATTAAACGATAACAAGTTGAACCCGCTATGCTAATTCATTTCGATCAATGATTGTGTGTGTGTGTGTGACAAATACAACTAAAAAAAAGAAATTTCTCGAGAATTTTCTCCCACACACCAAACACATCCTGATCATCACAATGATAATGGTCCTGAAAATAAGTATTTTTCTTTCTTCCATCACCCACCCACCCACTCACTCACTCATCCACCCCCCTGGAACAAGTGAACATATTTTCTTTTCTTTTTTTTTGTTGTTGTTGTTGTTGTTCTGGTTTCCTGGGTGGGGCGGTGATGAAAATCCATTGAATCAAAAAGAAAAGAAAAAAACGTCATTTTTTTCGCTTCTCATCGTCATCGTCATCGATATTTGGTAAGTATAAAAGTAAGATTAATGATAAGTAGTATGTTGTGCTTGTATGTGTGTGTGTGTGTACAAGTTGGAAATTTACGAATCATTTGAAAATTCCAGGAATTTTCTCTTTCTTTCACTCTCGATCCTGTGACCATCATCATCATCATCAAAAACTAGAGATCATTCATTTTTCATCATCATCATCACGATCAAACATAATAATAACAACAACAACAACAACAACAAACCCAGCACAAAGGATCCGGCGCGTAACCGAAACAAAAAATAAAAATCCATTTGAATTTCCAAGTAACAAGGAAATTGTTTCAACGATCAACAACCAAAAAAAAAAAAAAAAAATAATAATAATAATAATGATAATAATACTAGCGATCTGAATTGAACTGAACTGAATTGAATTGAGAAAATATCAGAATCAGAAAAAATTAAAGGACAATGAGTGAGAAATGAAAGAAAAATCTGGATCAAAACACACAGGCACACACACACACACACATGGACAGACACAGCATGTGACATGTGACCACTGTCATCATCATCATTTAAATTGTCCATTTGAAAAATCCTGTAATAATGATGATGATGGAGATAATTTGATGATGATGATGATGATGATGATTTGCAATCGATTGTGATGCATCGTGTGTTGATTGTTGTGGTGGTACATTCATCACATCATCCCAATCATCTGTTTTATTTTCTTCTTATGGTTGCTTCAATGTTTACGGAAATTGATTGAGTGGATAGAAAAATTTCATTTTTTTCCTATTTAAAGAGCTAATCAACCGACCTGAATGGAGTGAAGAAGAAAAATAAAGTTGTTTCATGAACAGATGGTTTTCAACAATAAAAAAAAACTTTGTGGCTGCTGCTGTGGTTATCTTTCGCAAAAAAAAGAAAAAAATTTCCGAATTCAAGGTGTTTGAATACGATCCAGGTATAAAAATGTGGAAAAAAGTAATTGGAATGTTTTTTTTTTCGTTTGTTACATCATTTGTTTCAAAATTACATGGAAATGTATCAATCTTACGGCTGTTTATTTATTATTTAAATATTTTATTTTAGAATTTTATGACATTAAAATTTTTTTTTTCAATGAAATGGGATCTATTTTTCAGGATAGGTAGTAGTGTTAGTGTTAGTGTCACTAATGTTAATGTGTGTGTCCACCTGTCATCTTATCGTCGTTTTATTTGACATTAAAATTATTTGAATGAAATGGATGCAATGAATGAATGAATGAATGAAATGAAATGAATTCAATACAGAAAAAAATCTGACAGTTTTTGGTAGTTAAAAGGCTAGTTTTGGATGGATGGATGAATGAATGGATCTGGATATAAACCATCTGTCCAATGTGGATGTGTGTGTGTGTGTTTTTAATTTGTTTTTTTCTCTATTTCACTTCGTCCGTCATTTTTTTTTTCAATAGATTAAATGTTGGTGTGTTCCGAAGAAAAAGGGTTAATATATACACAATAAAAAAAACTGAAATTCAAATGGTATACCTGTGACAATGTAATGAAAGAAAAAAAAAGTTGTCATCCAATTCAGCTTGCAGCGAATAAAAAAATCCAAATTTGAATGACTCATTGGTATATGGTGATTGTGACAAAATAAAAAAAGTTTTTTTTTATATTTAAATGGCAAACATTTTTATGTTTTTTTCCTACAATTTCCGTTCTGTTGTTTTTGTTACTTTTTTCCACATGACAAAGAATGGGAAAAAAAGGGTTAAATCAACATATTTGCGTAGTAACCAAAATGTGTAATTATACAATTTTATGTACATTTTTGGATTGAAATCTCGTAATTCGGGATCCATATCATATCTATGAATTTGGTTTGATTCAATTTAAGCTGGTTGGTTGGATCGACTAATAATTCAATGTTACTGGCAAATGATCGTAAAAAATGAAAATTCTGCTTCTTTTTCTTTTCCTGTCACCCGTAACCGAAAACAAACAAAAAAACACCATAAATTTATTGACGACCAAAAACGTTTTTGACGTTTACGGGTTTTTTTTCCAAAGTCCAACGAAACATATTCAAATTGTTTCTGGTTTTTAAATGAAACAACTTGACAAACTTTTCCATAAATATCCATTTCCATCCCAATACAAATCAAATCAAACTAGATTAAATATGAAAATGTACAAGCTGCTGACTTTGGCCATTATTTTTTGTTTTTCTTGATGTCCTTGATGTCACTATAATATCAAATTATCAAGAAGAAAAAATTTTAAATTTTGCGGTAGTAAAATTTAAAATTTCCGATAATAACTGGCCATTATTATTGCAGTGAATCTGATTTTCTGTGGATGTGAAATGTAAATTTTCTTTTTTTGGGCGAAAAATGATGCTCAGGATTAACATCATCATTATCGATGATGATTGGGAATCGAGTTTTTTTCTGGGCTAATAATAGAAACACCGATATTCAATTCATGTTTAGCTTATACTTGCTTGCTTAATCGCTTTGTAATATTTTTGTTTTGTTTTGTTTCCCCACATCCCTCATTCATTTCATATGGACTATCTATACACAAAAACAATTGAGGAAGCAAACATTTTCGAATTGATGCTGTGATATGTGGATGGATACTGTATTTTGGTATTATTATTAAACAAACACTAATCAAATATAAAAGTACCAGATCAATGGCTAACCATCCGTTCGTTGTCCTCATATATTTTGTTCTTTCTCTCTTTCTCTTTTTCGTTGTCATATGTCAACCAAAAAGCAAGACGAATGATGATGATGATGGTTACAGTTAGTGCTGCAGAAAAAAATCTAATCCAAATGATAATAGTTTCCAGGAATTTTTCTTCTCCCTTATTCATTCTATCGATAACATTGTTTTTTTTTGGCTTTCAATCCCAATGATGATGTTGATGATGATGATGATGATGATGATGATGATCATCAACAACATGTCCCGTTGTCATCATCAATCCATTTATCTTCAAAATGATTTTCGGTTATATTTGAGCGGAAAAAATCTTTTTTTTCTGGGTGAATTCAAAATTTTTTCGATGCTGAAAAATTGCTTCAGGGTTTGGTGGTGATGAGAATGGAATTGAAGAAATTAGATTTCCAAAATCAAAATTTTAGTTTTTTTCTTCGCTAAATAAAAAAAAGTTTTTTTTAAAAATAAATCTAATATATTCAAATCTTTTATTCTATGAGAAGGAAAAAAGAAATAGAGAGAAATAAACGGGTTCAATTCATTAGAGTATTTTGAGCCAATTACTAGGAATTTTTTTTTTGTTCCACAAGAATTTTCCAACATCTCAGGAGCCAAAAATACCAAGAATCGGATAAAATTAAACAGAACAAGAATCAGCTTAGGGAATGAGGGATGTTTGCGAATAAAAAACAAAAATTTAAAAATCATGTTTTTTTCCACATTGTCTCTTTCTCACTCTCTCTCTCTCTGTGTGTGTGTGTTTGATGAGCTTGAGATTGTATTTGTTTCACTTACACACACATACAGCGTTTCGTTCATAGTTCAGGGTATTTAGGTTTGGGTTCGGGTTTTTTTCCTGGAACACATCAATCAACATACTGATTATGGTATGTTTGGTATTGTCTCTCATAAGGTTTCGTCGTCTTTGTTGTGTGTCCGTGGGTCGGGAATGGCAGTGAATGAGGCATTCAGTCAGAAACCAAAGACTAAAGTTTTTTTTTGACGAATTCAATGTGAATTCACACA